AGCCTCTAAGGGGGGTGCAGGATTCTTGTTGCGACAAAGATTTGAAAGGGACATCCTTTCCTTATTCTGATCTTAGGCCATCTTAGAACTTCTTGCCGTTAAGTGTTGATATTTACTGTAAGGATTTTGTACATGCTCCTTATCAGGTTGAGGAAATTCCCCTCTGTTTCTAGTTTGCTGAATTTTTGTTATGAATGATTATTAGATGTCAATCAGATGCTTTTTCTTCATCTATTTGATATTATGATTTTTCTTCAGCCTGTTAATGTGACAGGTCACATTAAATGATTTTGAATGTAGAGTCAACTTTGCATATCTGGGATAAATACCACTTGCTTTTGGTGTATAACTCTTTTTAAACATTGTTTGGATTGGATTTGCCAATATTTTGTTGAGGATTTTTTAATCTCTTTATGAGAAATATTGATCTTTCCTTTCTTACAGTATCGTTGGTTTTGATACTAAGGTAATGCTGCCTCATAGAACGGGCTAGGAAGTATTTTCTCTCTTTTCATTTTCTGGAAGAGTATAGAGACTTGGTATAATTTCTTCCTTAAATATTAAGTCAAATTCACCAGGGAACCTGTCTGGGCCTGATACTTTCTGTTTTAGAAGTTATTATTGATTCAGTTTCTTTAATAGCTCATACCTATTCACATTATCCATTTCTTCTTGTGTGAATTTTGGTAGATTGTGTCTTTGGAGGAATTCCACTGGGATCTGAGAATATACTTTATATGGTTTCTGTTCTCTTAAATTTATTTAGGTGTGCTTTATGGCCCAGAATATGTTCCATCTCGGTGAATGTTCATGTAAACTTGAAAAGAATATGTATTCTTTTGAATGATGTTGGATGAAGTAGTCTGTTAATGTTAGTTATATCCAGTTAATCGAGAAGGTTGAGTTCACCTTCATCCTTAATCATTTCCTGCCTGCTGGATCTGTCTATTTGTGAGAGGAGATGGGCGTTGAAGTCTTTGATTGTGTTAGTTGATTCATCTGTTTCTTCCTGTAGTTATCAGTTTTTGCCTCATGTGAATTTTAAGCTCTGTTATTAGGTGCATATACATTAAGGATTGTTATGTCTTAGTGACATGACTTCATTTTTATTTTATGTATTTATTTAACACCCCTCTTTAAAGTAGGTTTGTGTAGACACAAGATAGTTGTGTTTTGAATTTTTTTCCAATCTGACAGTTTTTGTTTTTTAATTGGTATATTCAGACAGTTCACACTTAAAGTGATTGTTGATATCAGTGCATTAATAACAACCTGTTTGTTGTTCTTGTTTTTTGTTTTGTCTTCCACTCCTTTTTTTTTTCCGGTTGCACTAGGTCTTCGTTGCTTTGTGCAGGCTTTCTCTGGTTGCAGTGAGCAGGGGCTACTCTTCACTGCACTGCTCATGCTTCTCATTGCAGTGGTTTCTCTTGTTGTGGAGCACAGGCTCTAGGGCATGCAGGCTTCAGTAGTTGCGGTGCACAGGCTTTAGTAGTTGCAGCGCACAGGCTTTAGCAGTTGCGGCTCATGGGCTGAGTTGCTTTGTGGCATGTGGAATCTTCCCAGACCAGGGATTGAACCTGTGTCCCCTGCATTGGCAGGCAAATTTCTATCCACTGTACAACCAGGGAAGTCCCCTTTATATGATTTTATTTGAGCATTTTGTATGATTCCATTGTTTCTCCTTTCTTAGCATATCAGTTTTACTTCTTTATGAATATTTTTAGTGGTTGCCCAAGGGTTTGCAGAATACATTTATATCTAATTTAAATCCATTTTCAAATAACATTACCTTGCTTCACAGGTGATGCAGGTACCTTATAACCAAATATTTCCAGTTCCTCCTTCTGTCCCATATAATGTATTATCATTCATTTCACTTTTCCCTAAGCTATAATCACTGAATGCGTCTTACAGTCTTTGTTTTGAACAAACTGTTACTTCTTAGGTCAATTACAATAAGAAAAGTATTTTACCTTTATATATTTCTTCTCTTAGGTTTTTTTCCTTGAAATAGATAAGTTGCTGACCAAATCATTTCCCTTCTCTCCAAATAAGTTCTCATTTCCTGCCAAGTAATCATGAAATCCCCCAATTTTTGTTTGTCTGAGAAAATCTTGATTTCCCCTTCACTTTTGAAGTTTCACCAGATACAGAAGTGTAGGTTGGTGCGTTTTTCTTTCAGTGCTTTAATATCTCACTCTTCTGTTGCTTGCATGTTTTCTGAGGACAAGTTTGATACAGTTGTTGCTATATTATTATTCCTGCTTGCTTCTTCCTAGGTAAGGTGCTATTTGCTGTTTTCTTGTGGCTTCAGGGTTTTCTCTGTCTTTGATTTTTTTTTGCAGTTTGAATATGATATGCCTAGATGCAGTTTTTTGGTTTTGTTTTTCGTTTTGCTGTTTATCCTGCTTGATATCCTCTGAGCTTACTGGGTCTGTGGTTTTGGTGTTGAGGAAATTCTCAACCATTATTACTTGAGGTATTTCTTGTGTTTCTTTTTTTTGTCTGTGCCATGCAACTTGTGGGATCTTAGTTCCTCAATCATGGATCAAACCTGGGCCCTCCAACAGTAGAAGTGCAGAGTCCTAACCACTGGACCACCAGGGAAGTCCCTTCCTGTGTTTTTTTCCTCTCCTTTTTCTGGCAGTCCCATTGCACGTTTATTATACCTTTTGTAATTTTCTGTTTTTGAATATTCTGTTCCTTTTTTGTTTGTTTTTTCCTTCTCCCCTACCCCCACCCATTTCCTTTTCAGTTTGGAGAGTTTTTACTGACATATCTCTGAGCTCGTTGATTTTTCCCTTGTCTATGTCCATCTGCTGATGAACCCATCCAAAGCATTTTTCATTTCTGTTGTAATGTTTTTGGTTTTTAACATTTCTCCTTGATTTTTTTAGAATTTCCATCTCTTTGTTTACATTGCACATCAGCTCTTGGATGATGTTCACTTAATTATAACCCTTAGCATATTAATCATGAAAGTATTAGTCACTCAGTCATGTCTGACTCTTTGCAACCTCATGGTCTGTAGCCTGCCAAGCTCTTCTGTCCATGGAATTCTCTAGGAAAAAATATTGGAGTGGGTTGCCATTTCCTTCTCCAGGGAATCTTCCCGATGCAGGGATCGAACCTGAGTCTCCCGCATTGCAGGCAGATTTGTTACCGTCTGAGCCACCAGGCTAAGTAATTAAGTGCTAGTCACTCAGTTGTGTCCAACTCTTTGCGACCCCATGGACTGTAGCCCTCCACGCTTCTCTGTCCATAGAATTCTCCAGGCAAGAATACTGGAGTTATTAATCATAGATATTTTAAATTCTTGGTCTGATCACTCCAAAACCTCTGCTGTATTAGTTTGATTCTGATGCTTTTCCTGTCTGTCCAGTGTTTTTTTTGCCTTAGCATGCCTTGTAATTTTTTTTTTTTTTTGCCTTGTAATTTTTTGTTGAAAGCTGGGTGTGGCGATTCAGGTGAGAGGAGCTGAGGTAAAGAGGTCTTCGTGTGAGGCTATGTATTTATGTGGCCAGGAATCAGGCTGTGTTGACTGTTGGCTGCAGCTGCGTGCCGTTAAAAGGGTCCAATACGTGGCATCTCCTATTGTACGGGCGCCCCTGGGTGCAGTGGGGCTGCTGGGGAGGGGAGCGCTCTAGCCCTCTGATGAGTAGGTCTCTGTCGTCCAGGGAGCGTGTGCCCCTGGGCTGTGACCCTCACACACACGTCTTATTTAGGAGGGACAGAACTGCTGGGGGGCTGGAGTTGGTATTTACCTTTCCCCAGGTGGGTCAGGCCCTGGTCAAATAGTTTTCCTTGAGAAAAGGCCCTTGTTGAAGAGAGCAAAGTACCAGTCACAGTTGGAAGTGCTTTCTTCCCCCCGCCCCACCAGAAGCTGAAGACAACTTCTGAGAATCCTGGCTAGGGGGGCCTCCTGGAGGTAGAGCTCAAGTAAGCCGGAGGACTCGTATGACTGGCCCCAGAGTTGTGTCTTAAGCTCGTCCATGCCCACGTCCATCCCTTGGTCAGCCCCCTTCCGATATGCCTGCCCACTTGCAGCTAGCTTCTCCCTGTGGGCTGTGATTCTCTGTCCCCTGTTGCTCTCTCCAGTTTTGGCGGAAGCAGTTTGTGACCTTATTCTCTGATGGATCTGAGAAGACATGTTCATTTGTTCAGCTCTTTTCTTGTGAGAACAGTAGTGACGACTTTACGTGTGGAACCAGATACACAAAGTTCATTGTCATCCTGTTAACAGTAACCTTAAAAATTAGAGGATCAGAAGTGTCGAGTGTAAGAGATCTATTCTTGGAGAGGAATCAGTATAACCCATTAAAGCACATTTAACACCTGTGGTAATTGGTGGTGATGTGAGCACAACTCACACTGTGTCCGCGCCACACTCAAGACCCTAGTCATTGAGGTTTGTTAGCCAAGTGCTTCATGGCCTCCTGTCACTTCTTTTTCTGTGCTCATCGCTCAGCTGCCTGGCCCTTGATGATTTAATATGATGATTTAATACGTTTCCTTTTTAGCAGATTGTTCAGAGCTATTGTTTGCAGTTTCCAACTGTGATCCGGAAACACAAGCCATCCTTGTCTTTTCCTTTTATTTTTTTATCTTTTGGCCGCACCATGTAGCTTGTAGATTTGAACCAGGGCCCCTGCAATGGAAGCCAAGAGTCCTAACCACTGGACTGCCAGGGAATTAGTTCTCTTATCTGCCTTTTTAGTATACAAATTCCACCAAACTAGTTTTGAGGTGTCCTTTGCAGGACTTTGATGACAACATTGATGCAGTGTGGTGGGAAGTGTGGGAGTATTCTCTTCAGCCAGTAGAGATTTTACTAAAAATTTGGAGCACACTGCCTAGAGGAGGCCCCCACTGCGAGCTGGGACTGCGGCCAGCCAGCCTGTGGTGGAAATATACAAGGCTTTCGCGATGTTCTATGGCCTTTGATGGTGTTGGCTCACCTTCCCTTGCTCATGGCACTTCCTCTCTCCACTTTCTTTCAGTATTTAGGTCAATTAACGTCCATACCAGGATACCTGAATCCTTCCAGTAGGACCGAAATCCTGCATTTCATAGACAATGCAAAGGTAACCCCATCTGCCTGACTTAGCCTGCTCTACCCCCATCCCTGACCTCTGACCCTCAGCCTGCTCCATCTCCTAACTCTGACCTCTGACCCTTGTTTTCTGATACCAACTCTTGGCCCTCTGACCCTGGGCCTTTATGGCCATGAGGGGTGACCCAGTCCCATCATGTTAAGCGTGCACTTGGCCCCTGGCGTTACCTTTCCTCAGTCTGAACATTAACTTTTATTCTCCAGGCTTGCTCCTTGTGGTTTTGGACTGTTTTCAAAATTCACGTTTTCAAGATATCCAAACCACACCCCACAGGTCCGAATCTAAAGGCAGTTCCAGAAGAACCCTTCGTGTGGTTTGAACACAGCAGTGTCGTGGGAGCAAGCATGGGAGTGGCGCCCTGCTTGTCAGCACTGGCTGTGTGGGTTGTGTGCACCACACATGGTGCAGGGTCCCAGGGCAGCCCGTGGCCCTGTGTTTCTGATGCAGTGTGGTTCCTTCCAGAGAGCCCACCAGCTCCCCGGACACCTGACCCAGGAGCATGACGCTGTGATCAGTCTGTCTGCCTACAACGTCAAGCTGGCCTGGAGGGACGGGGAGGACACCATCCTCAGGGTCCCCATCCATGACATTGCTGCCGTGTCCTACGTGCGAGATGATGCCTCACACCTGGTGGTCCTGAAGACAGGTATGACTGGGGGTGGGGTCAGGAGGGTCCTTGCCAGAAGCAGCCCCCACCTCTGTCCTGAGGCGTGCGTTGTGGACTTCATGGCACTCTGGAGACAAGTTTCTACAATGTTGGGTCAGCCAACTGCTGCCTGCTATGCCTGGGAACTAGCCCTCTCTCCAGAGAAGGGCAGTGACCCAGGAAGCTGTGGTCTCTGGGTCCTGAACTCAACCACTATCTCGGTGCAGCCCCCTTTGGGGATGCTGGAGTGGCCTCTGGCACCCAGCCTGGTAGACACCCTGGGCGCAGGCGGCTCCAGAGGCTGAGGGTGGGGCCTTAGCTCAGCCTAACCAACATTCGGGCCTTCCTTTGGCCACACTGTCTTCCCAGTGCTGGCAGTGCAGGGAGGAGACCAGACCAGCAAGGAGCTCTCGATCTGTGAGACGCTCTGAGCATGTCCTTGTAGGAGAACCCGAGAGCCATCAGTCCCTGTCACCCAGCCCACTCCCCTTGCCTGATGAGGATACAGTGCCACCTTACTTGGCACTTGCCGACAAGCTGTCTGTCAGGGTCTGGAATCTCTGCCCCAGCATAAGTCCCTGAGAAGTGAGGAGAGAAGTCACGGTTCACTCATGCCATGCCCTTCCCGGGTGGATTCTCAGGTTGTCACTGTAGCATGGATGCCATCCCTGGGCTCCTTTAGGCACTGGCAATGGCTGGGTTGCCCCCTGGAGTCGTGCATTTCCAGGGGGCTGGTGGCGGTATGTGAGGGTGGCCAGCTGGATCGGCCTGGGCCACACACTGTGCTTCAGGCAGTGCAAAGGAAAAGTTGTATTTCTGCTTGAGGTTGGTAGTCCACACGGATCTGAGGGCTTTTTAAGAGCCAGGGCCCTGAGGAGCTTTCTCATTACTGACCCCTTGAGCTTCAAGGAAGTTCATATTAAAGGGCCCGTGAATCTGGTGGGGATGCGGCAGGCTACCTGCACAGGTAATGGGAAGGGTTTGTGAAGGTGGCGGCTGGAGTGTATCATAGCCCCTTGACTTTGTATGGCTGTGGCTTAGTGTCCCCCCACAGAGTCACACACACACACCACACATACTCACCGCACATACTTGTAGCACCCATCCACATACACTCATTCACATGCACTCACACACTCAGGTCCCACACACACTCACAAATGCTCACTTGTTCTCACACACACACATACACACACACTCCTGTTCTGTCATACTGCACTTTTGAGCACGGTCCCCTCTGTGCTCTGCTTATTTTTCATTTCCCTTCATTGTGTTCAGTAGTGGTGGTGGTGTTGCTCAATCGCTAAGTCATGTCCGACTCTTTGTGGCCACATGAACTGCGGCACGCCAGGCTTCTCTGTCCATCACTATCTCCTTGAGTTTCCTCAAACTCATGTCCATTGAATCAGTGATGCCATTCAATCATCTCATCCTCTGTCGCCCCTTCTCCTCTTGCCCTCAGTTTTTCCCAGCATCACTGTCTTTTCCAGTGAGTCAGCACTTCACATCAGGTGACTAAAGTATTGGAGCTTCACCTTCAGCATCAGTCCTTCCAATGAATATTCAGGACTGATTTCCTTTATGATGGACTGGTTGGATCTCCTTGCAGTCCAAGGGACTCTCAAGAGTCTTCTCCAGCACCACAGTTCAAAAGCGTCAATTCTTTGGCATTCAGTTTTCTTTGTAGTCCAACTGTCACATCCATACATGACTACTGGAAAAACCATAGCTTTGACTATACAGGCCTTTGTTGTCAAAGTGGTGTCTCTACTTTTTAAAACACTGTCTAGGTTTGACATAGCTATTCTTCCAAGGAGCAAGTATCTTTTAATGACAGGCATTATTTTGAACAACACAAAGCTGCCAACTTTTAACCATTTTAATCTAAAAAAAAAAAAAATGCAATTTAATATGTCTCAAACTAGTAGAAAGCATGTGGCATGAATGATCTTATTTAGTCTCCACAAGAAACCTGTAAGGAGGATTCTGTTTCCTTCCACCTTTACCGGTGGACTCACTGGGAGCAGGTGGGTTGGGTGACTTGGCAGGGTCCCCCGGTTGTTTGATGGTGGCTGATTGGTTGAGGAACTGTGTAACTGCTTCCACCAGTGCTGCCCAGCTCCGTGGTGACTGTTTTTCCCTGCCTGGGGACTGTCCCTGCAGGAGGCCCATGGTGTGGGGCCTCCCTGGGGACCAAACAGTGAGGCGAGTGCTTCTGGCTGGGAGCCACAGGCCTTAGGGCTGGTGGGAGGGGAGCTAACCCCTGGGTTTCTTGTGTCCAGAACATTTCTCAGTGTTAATTGTAGAATACATTGTCTGGAAAATGAGTAACCGATTTTCTAAGAGACAGAATGAGCACCACAGGAGAAGGTTTCCAAAAAGAGATGAAAACCGGGACCCCTCAGGGCTTTGAGAGCTTTCCAGTTAAAAGGAGAGTGAACTCCATTCTGTGTTCCGGAGGGACCTCCTCGTTCTAGCGGCTCTTCCTGCGGGAAGTCACCAGCCCCGGGGGCCTCTCGGTCTCTCAGAAGCACTTGTCGCAGCAAGTGGCAGTGTCTGAGACGGTGCTCGTGGCTGTCCTCAGCACTGGCACTGGCAGTGGTAGCTGACACCGAGTGCCTCCTACACAGGGGCCTGTCTTTGATGCCTCCCCTGGCCTGGGCTGTGCTGGCATTGGGACAGTGTGGAGTCGGGGGTCGGGGTCAGGTCTGGCCGCAGGAGGCCCTGTGTGGCAAGCACGGCTTGTGGAGACGTCTCATTAAGGGATGTTTCTGTGGACATGGGAAGGTGGGCAGTGGATCTAAACCGGGACCTGTGGGGACAGCCTGTGGGACTGGGGATGGATGCTGCTGGGCTCGCTGTGCATGGGTTTGGAGCCACACACTTCTTTCCTTGGGAGCAGCCACGGCTGTGAGCCATAAAGCTATTTAAAATGTCCTAGAACATCTTGCCAGCGTGGTCACTGTAGCAGTCACTAATGAGCAATCTCACAGTATTCTTTGTTCTGACTCTCAGACCCTGTGGGTGCTTTTCGTTGGGTCCCAGCTCAGCGCCTGTGGCCCATGGCCGTGGGATGGTACAGTCAGGGTCTGACAGTGGGATTCTTGGGGCTCAGCCTCCACATGGGGTGCCACCAGCCTTGCTCTACAGAGCCCTGGTCTTTGCCAGCCCATGCACCCCAGAGTCTGGCTGTTCCTAGCTGGGGTCCTGTCTCAGCACTGTCTGAGCTTTGGGTGGTCTCCCTGCTCCGCTGGGCTTGCCCTGAGATATCCTGGCACCAGGGGAGCTCCAGCCTTCCCCGGCACTTCCTACTCCCGGGTGTGTCTCAGTGGATCTGCCCGGAGCCTGCTTCTGCAGAAGCTTCCCTGGGCCACAGCCCCCACTTCCGGCCTCAGGAATCCCCCTCACGTCCTACGAGACCTTGTGTGTGTGGAGGCGGTGGTGTGCAGTGTTAACAAATAGGCGGGTGGTCTCATGGCTAGATCCCAACCTGGGCTCTGCCCCTCATGCACCCTCGGACACAGCCCTCTGCCTCCTCTGCCTCAGTTTCCTCATCTCCTGTCAGGATTGTGTCTTAAGCCTGTCATTAGAACTCTGTGAATACCTTCTTTTTTAAAAAAAAAAAAAATTATTTATTTGTCTCCACTGGGTCTTAGTTGCAGCGTGTGACCTCTTAGTTACAGTATGTGGGATCTAGTTCCCTGACTGGGGATCAAACCCAGGCCCCCTACACTGGGAGTGCGAAGTCTTAGCTACTGGACCACCAGGGAAATCACTGTGAATACCTTCTTTTGTGTAGATCAGAAGCAGCTAAATATTGGCAGTTTCCGTCTGAGATATTCACTCTGTCTTTGGCAGAGAAGCTAGAAGGTCATGTTAAGGTGGTGGTTTTGAGTGGGCAGTGGCAGGGGAGGGTGCTCTTTTGAAGGGAAGATGAGGGCGGGGGCTTGCCTGGCTCAGTCTGTCCCCACCTGAGTCAGGTAGAGGCTGCCCAGAGCCTGCCGTTGAGCTCCCACACCAGCTCTAACCTGCCATGGTGTTGACTTTCCAGCCCAGGACCCCGGCATCTCCCCCAGCCAGAGTTTGTGTGCAGAAAGTTCCCGAGGCCTCACCACAGGCTCCCTGTCGGAGAGCGGAGTGGGGCCTGTGGAGGCATGCTGCCTGGTGATCCTGGCCGCGGAGAGCAAGGTGAGCAGAGTTGGTACCTGGGACCCAGGCCCTGCCCATCCCCACCCATATCCTGACTCAGCCCCACCCCACCCATAGCTTGCCAGGCTCCACCCATTCCAGCCCCAGCCCCAGCCCCACCCACCACCTGACCCAGGTCCCACTGAGTCCCAATCTGATACCTCCATGCTGGTTCCTTTTTCTCTTGGTTGGCCCCACTTTTCCCTCCCCCATGTGGGGGCTGTGGTCGTCACACCAAGCTGTGCCATTGGGGAAGACTCTGGGGGAGTGGTTTGAGGCCCACCATAGAGCTGCCAGCCTCAGGGAGCCCCCTGATACCTTCTGTTTAATTTTCACATCTTTAGTAAGACCAGAGCAGGGATGGTGGTCTTTGGCAGCCTCTGATGAGTCTCCCTCCTCATCACTGCCTACCTTCCACCTGAGTAGTTCTTTCTTGTGGGGCCGCCTTCCTGGCTTGTCCGCACTGGGAGCTCCTCCAGATGTTGCCCCCTGTCTCGGGGGAAGAGCCTCCCCAGGTGGGACCCGCGTTGACAGCACATGTGTGAAGGGTTGTGTGGTGTCAGGAATGCTGTCCACGTGCCCTGGCTCGGATGCTGACCGCTCTCTGCCCTTTTCCTGAGGCTGGCACGGGTGCTGAGATGGCTGTGGGTGGGAGAGCAGTGCAGGAGGAGGGACAGAGGTGACGCTCCTGTGGGTCCAGAGAGCTGGCATCCTTGTGGCCCTGTTGGGCAGTGGGAGACAGTGGGCCCTGTTTCTAGGTGTTCTTTCTGCATCTGAGGTGTCGGGTGCCCAGGAAGCTGCCTGGAAGGCTCAGCCTTGTCCTCCATTGGCAGGTTGCCGCGGAAGAGCTGTGCTCCCTGCTTGGCCAGGTCTTCCAGATCGTGTACACGGAGTCCACCATCGACTTCCTGGACAGAGCCATATTTGATGGGGCCTCGACACCCACCCACCACCTATCCCTTCACAGTGGTACGTGAGCAACTGGGCTCCCTCTCCCCTTCCCACCAGGGCTCTGCTGCAAGCTCCTGCCAGAATAGCACTTTGGTGGCCACCGTCCGGGGCGGAGTTTGAGTCAGCACCCTTCATTCCCAGACTTCACTGTTCAGGTGTTCTCCCCACTCCCTCCGGAGGCCCCCTGGTGGCTTCCTGCGTAACTCTGGGGGCCAAGAACACTTATTTTGGAACCACTGGTGGCTAAAGTCACTGTACCAAACTTAAAAGTGAGGGCTGGGAGGGGCTCCCTGCACCATGGGTGTGGGGCCCCTTCCAAGGTGCAGGCTGCCCAGGGCAGGGTGGGGGCGGCGGTGGCTGGAAGAGCACAGAGCCCAAAGGCGGTGCAGAGGGACTGGCGCTCAGAGCACCGGGGAGTGTTTCTGGGAATTGTAAGCGCACAGCACGCTTCATTTACATGTAGCGCATTGAAGCTCAGTCTTGTAAACACCAGGAGCATCGTGGTGCTGGTGTAAACACCAGCATTTATTTATTTCAAATAAATAGTTTATTGAGGATCCATGGCTTCTGTCAGGGGAACAGGAAGAAAGATATTGGAGACAGCTCAGTGGTAGCCTCCAGGGCTGGAGGCCGCTGGTCTCTCTGTGGAGAGGAGTGCAGCCCCACACCCTTCAGTGCGGCTCACACATCCCCGTGAACAGCACAGAACCCTCTGCATGTAAACACGAATCTGCAGGGGCTCTTTGATGAAGGGCTGGTTCCTTGGCTGTGTCCTCTTCTCGCTGTTTGTGCTGGAGCTGCTTGCTGCCCCACAACGATACCCTGGTGAGGCTGGTAGTCTGTCCTCATGGGCAGGTGGGAAGGTTGAGGCCCCAGTGGGCAGCAGATGGTTTACTGAGCTATAGTTAAACATTCAGCTTTAGTGTGATTGCTTTGGCCCTTGCTTTTTTTTTTTTTTTAAATATACTATTGTACTAAAAGATACACACAAATCGAAAGTGTACAGCTGAATGAGTTTTCACGAAGTAGACACAGGGATGTGCACTGTCTATTGATGAAGCTTCTCTTGTTCTGGCCACTGGGGAGCCTGCTTCAGCCCCGCCACTTGGCACATCTTCGGGGACCAGAGCATTGTCCTGGCTCCTGTCCAGACCCACGGCAGGTGGTGCATCTCAGGAGAAGCAGGTGTGGGTGCAGCCCAAAGGGTGTACCCCAGGGGCCTGGGTGGCTCCCCACCGCCAGGGCTCTGCCTCTTCTGCTTAGCACGTGGATACTGGGCTCAGGGCCCCCTCCCTCACATAACCAGAAGCTTCTGTGTTCTACATTTCCTGCACAGATGACTCTTCCACAAAAGTGGACATGAAGGAGCCATATGAGACGGAAGCCAGCACTTTGTGAGTACCCCTACCTGGGTCTCAGCATTGCCCATAAAGCTGCCTGGCCCCACCTTCCTTCCCCAGTTTCAGGAGTCTCCCAGTGAATGGGCTCCTTGGGGTCACACTAGTGTTGTCATCGCTCCACTGAGACCCTGCTAGGCTGCTGGCCCCTTCTGGGTCCTTCCCTGCACATGTCCTTCTCTGTCTTTCCCCAAGCACCTCCTCCATGACAGGCCTCCTCTTTTCTCAGCCCCTGGCTCTCACTGGATCCCTGGGGGTGAGGGTGAGGCCCGGGGCAGGGCTGGGGGCCACCCACTCACATCCTGGCTTGTGCCTTGCAGCTCCTTCCCCGAGTGTGCACATGCAGGTGGCGTCTCGCCCTTGTCCTTCTGCATGCAGACAGCACCCCATGCCAAGACAGTTAGCGAGAGTGAGCTGAGCGCCACGGCTGCCGAGCTTCTGCAGGACTACATGCTCACGGTACGCCGCCTTCCACTTGTCCACCAAGGTCAGAAGATGCTGGCCCCGCCGGCAGGCCTGTGTGCAGTGCCTACGGGCTAGGAGCTCCCTGGAGGAGGTGGGAGGAAGGCTTGCTTTCCCATGGGTGGAGCTGGGGGGAGCAGGGATGCCTTGCTTACAACTGGGCTTTGAAGTCTTTCCTACCAGGTCAGTTTTTGGAAAGAGCATGAGGTGGCCAAGGCCTGAGCATGGGGCTGCTCTGGCCTCTGGGGCTGAACCACAGACCTGTCTCTGGGTCTCCGGTGGGGAATGGTGGCATGGGTTGCAGGTCATTCCCTGGAAGGGCCAGATGGGCCTTATCGCTCAGCAGACTTTTCCCCTGTTCCTTGACTTCATGCCATTAAAAACTTGGTCAATACACCGAATATCACTCTGGGCTCTGTGTGCAGTTCTGTGGCTCCTGGCAGTGGTGTCAGACATGCGCCCTCCACCCACTGATGGCGAGCCTGGCCAGCCAGGTTGTAGGTTAAAGCAGATGGCGTGGGCTGGTCTCTGAGGCACTGGTGTGGGGCCTCAGTGTTGCTGTGGGGTTCCCCTCCCTCCTGCTGACCCTCCAGCAGGGGTCAAGCTGGGTGTGGGCAGGGTGGAGGCAACGCCGGTCACCACCCTGCCGCGGGCCTGCTCTCTTGGCAGCTGCGCACCAAGCTGTCGTCACAGGAGATCCAGCAGTTCGCAGCGCTGCTGCACGAGTACCGGGACGGGGCCTCCGTGCACGAGTTCTGCATCAACCTGCGGCAGCTCTATGGGGACAGCCGCAAGTTCCTGCTGCTCGGTGAGTGCGGGGCGGATAGGGGCTCCCTTAGGGAGGGGGGCCAGCCAGCCAGCAAGCCGCGTGGTCCTTCCAATGGCTCTTTCCAGTGACTCTGGGGACCCTGCCCCTGGGGAAGCAGGAGGGGCCCCTGGGGAGCCAGACTCGGGGTGAGGTGGGCACTGCATGCCTGGCAAGGGCTGAGGGAGGCTCTTCAGAGGAAGTTGGCGCAGGGACAGTTTTGGGGGAGTAGGCAGGAGCTTGCTGGGCGGAGGAGTGATGACGCCATTCCCAGTGAAAAGCAGCCTTAGCTGAGGCCCCGAGAGAAGAGCCTGCAGAGTCAGCAGGGCGGGCGGGTACTCAGGGCCTGCCACAGACAGCCAGATGCAGCCCTGGATGTGTGTCCACATGCACAAGCACAGTGGAGCGACTGTGCTTTCCCTATGCCGATCCCAGGTGGAGGCTGGGAACCTGGTGGGAACCTGGTGGAGGCTCCCAGGTCCTGGGCTCTGCCCCCAACAATGCAAGGAGGGTGCTCTGCTGATGGGGTGGGGGTGGAGGTGAAGGGCTGAGGGCAGACCTGCATCCAGTCTGATCTCTTGCTGACTCCATAGGCCCCTTGGAGAGTCAGCCCAAGCCAAGCCTGGGGTCCAAGGCCTGTTTCGTATTGTCCTCACATGAGAGTAGGTTTTCTCATACCTACTTTCCAGGAAGTAGGTGGTCACTTGGGAGCTGGGCAGTGGGGCCTGGTGCTTGGAGCCCGGTTTCAGCCTCCCCTGCTCCCTCTCCTCTCCTGTGTTTGGAAACCTGTGAAGTGGCACTTTCCTGAGGACCGAGGGGAGTGATATAAGTGTGGCTTCTGGCCTGCACCAGCCCTGTTGCCAAGGCAGGGCCAGTCCACAGCACCTGTCAGGATTGGGGCAGACACATGGGGCAGGTGGGGTGGGTTTATCCAGGCCGTGGGCCCCCCGGGACAGGCACACATGTGCTTTCAGCAAGAGGCTTGGCTTAGGGTCAGGTGGGCCATGTGTCTGCAGGTTTGCGGCCCTTCATCCCTGAGAAAGACAGCCAGCACTTCGAGAACTTCTTGGAGACCATTGGGGTGAAGGATGGCCGTGGGATCATCACGGACAGCTTCGGCAGGTACCGCCGGGCCACAAGCTCCACCTCCACCTCCACCTCCAATGGGAACAGGGCCGCAGGCAGCTCTGACGACCAGTCTGCACCCTCGGAGGGGGATGAGTGGGACCGCATGATCTCGGACATCAGCAATGACATCGAGGCGCTGGGCTGCAGCATGGACCAGGACTCAGCCTGATGGCACCCGGGCCCCTGCCAATTGCCCTCCTGGGCCCCGGACACAGGTGGCTCTACTGTGAAGGAGGCACCCCCATGCCGGGGCAGAAAGTCAAGCTGCACCCACCTGCATGCCACCCTGCCTCGGGAGGGGTCCTGTCAGCCAGACCCTGGACAGCTGTCATTTTGCACACGACGTTTCTATTGAAACTCTCAGAGACCTTAAAAGAAGTTTACTGCAATGTGAATAATTTATCTCTGGTTGCCATTGTGTTTCTGCTCCAGTGGGATAAGAGCTGGGGACTCCTGTCTGGCCTCTGTCTCAGACCCACATGCCCTGGCGGGGCATGGTGGACTGAACACTTGTGCCCGACACCTCCAGGGAGGGCCTGATTTGGGTGTGGACACAGGGCAGGGAGCAGGTGTCCTGAGCACATGTGGACATGAGCACTGGGCTCTCCGAGGGGCTCGCTGTCCTTCAGCCCTTCATCCGTGCCCATGACCCCAGGCCACATTGACCGTCATGGTGGTTGACAGCAAACCTGCACACCATGTCTTCACCAGAAGTGCCATCCTCACCCTGAGAGCATGGCATCTTGGAGCCCAGGGTCCCCCTGGTCATCAGGGAGGCCAGTGGGGGCCTGTCAAATCCCTTGGCCTTGGTCCCCCCGGGCGGGGCCCCTCCTGTGTCCTTGGAACATGGGGAGGTCATGGGGGTGACCTCAGGGCCGTCAGCCTGGAGGCTGGGGCCTGGCACTGCAGTGCAGGTGCGGGGAGGCCCAGCTCTGGGACTCCCTCCTCACCCCCAAGATACCTCCACACCTTGAGGCTCCTGACTGCATAGGCAAGAAGCCCTGGGCTCAGCAGGGTGGGTACCTGAGCCCCTGGGAGGGAGGACAGGGATGTGGGCTCTCTGTCCAGCCCTGTGGGAACCAGGCAGGGGTCTGCAGTCCCCTAGGCTCCCTACCCGCTGACAAGGGGTAGGACTGGAGGAGGGATCTCAGACCTCATTCTGGCCCTGGCGGACCAGGTGCTGGCTCTGGGCCCGGGCTGGGCAGAGCTAAGGGAGACAGTTGGTAGATGCCATCTCTAGGTGTGTGTGCAAATCAACCTGCCCTGGAAGCATCTGGAACAGCTAAAGATAGCCACGTGGGCCAGGGGCCATCCCTTCCATAGCCCACCCTGTGCTTGTGAACAGTGGGGACCTCGTGTCCCATGAGCCTTCTGTGATGGTCAGGACTGCTGCTCTTCTCTAGGGGCTCCACCCACATGTGGTCCCTCAGTGGTCTCCCTCTTTTGTCCTGGGACATCACCTCCACCCTGCGGGTCCCGGGACTTTGTAGGAGAGAGAGGACAGGGAGAGGATGGTAACTCTTAGAGTTGGGCCACAGGGAGGGGCCAGGAACTTCGGGAGATTGTGCTGTTAGCCTGAGAGACGCTACTTCCCGCAGCTCCTCCAGCTCGGGGGCCCCTGCATCTGGGGAGTTCCTTCCAGAAACTGTTATTCCCAGGCCCATGCCTTGGACTACAGCCAAGTGACTGGGCTGTCCACAATCCCTGGGCAAGGTGGATTCCCTGGGACTCGGGGGAGGGACCACCACCCTCCTTGGGACCTGTGTGGCTTCAGGAAGTGTCTGCACACCTCCTGCAATCTATTTAGCCAGAGCCTGTGCTGGAGGAGCCGAGAGGCGATGAAGGGACACCACTTTATTGAGCAGCAGAGCTAGGGGGCAGGGGTGGAGCCAGGTCTCTGGTCAGCAACTACATTGTCAGCTCCTGTGAGAATTGCAGAAAGAGAGGGTCATGTTGGGGACAGGCCCCGGCAGACAGCAGCGGGGCATCTGTGAGGGGGCCAGCCACTCACCATGATGGCGTTGACGATGTCACTCTGGTTGTCCCTCAGGGCCCGCACGGCCTTGGCCCTTGACACATTGGCCTGCGCCATCACCAGCTCGATGTCGCGCAGCTCCAGTCCTGCCTCATCCACCTGGAGCGGGATGTGCAGGGAGGTGCTGCAGTGGCCCGCTCCCCCAGGGAGAGGCCCCCAGGCCAGGCTGCCCCCTCCCCGAGGGGCCCGGGCCCCGTGGCCTCACCTCTTCCTCCTCCTCCTCCTCCTCCTCCTGCTCGCACTCGGGTCTCGCCCTCGGCCCAGGCGCTGACTCGGGCACCAGGGCGGAGGGCTCCGAGGGCACCTTGAACTTCTCGGCCGCAGCCCTGTGCACCTGCTGCGACAGGTCCTCGATCTGCAGCACAGAGGTCCGCTGTCAGCCGAGCCTGCGCCCGACGCCCACCCCGCGCCCCTGGCCAGCCGCTCAGACCTTGGCCTCGCCGAAGACCACGTAGGTGTCTGAGGCTGGGCTCTTAAAGACGTCGGGCTTGGCAATGACAAAGAGGATGTTCTTGGACTTCTGGATGGTGATCCTGGTGACCCCCTGGATCTGTCGTAAGCCCAGCTTGGACATTGCCTGGAAGCACAGTGGTCTCAGACCTGGGCGTGGGCCCCAACGTTCCCAGACGGGGGCTGGGGGAGAGGAACAAGTCCGGGGGAGACGGTCCGCCGCCAGGGGCACAAGGGTTCCGCCACCCACCCTCTGTGGAGCCTCCGAGGTGGCTCACTGTGAGCAAATATGACGTAGGACTCAGGCTGAGTCCGTTTCAGCTGACAGCCCAGCCCCAGTTACTTCACCCAAGGCATCTAGTTATTCCCCTTATCCCAGGGCCCCCATCGATGGGATTCATCAGCCATAGGGTGGGAAAGGGTCCCCTTACACTGCCAGCCCCACTCTCGGGGTGGCTGGGGTTGTCTGGCCAGCCTGGTCCCTCCTGGAGGGAGCAGGGACCCAGATGTCTGCCCAGCCCACCTTTCGGGCCTTCTTTTCACTGCGGCTCTGCTTGGCTTTGGCGACTGTCTCCTCGCTCCCGCTGCCGGCCGGGGCCTGGAGAAGAAAGGATGTCTGAGCACCTGAGGGCAGGGCATGGAGCCCTCCCCTGGGCGCACAACCTGCCTTTTCGGGCACCTGGACTGGGCACTGTGCGGTCTGCGGTCCTGGGAGGTCCTGCTCCTCCAGCTCAGCTGATGACTCCCCATGGCTGTCCGAGTGCTGGCCGGAGCCCAGAGCGCGGGGCGAGTCTGAGGAAGGGGAGTGTGAGGATGGCCTGCCATTCTTGACAGAGGCAGGGGGCGAGCAGCGCTGGCATCCCTGCCCAGCCCTCTGTCCCCTGGGTCCCTGGCTCAGGACAGTGCTGCCGCCTGCATCCCACTCACCTTCCTCCAAACTGTCGCCGTCATCCTGCTGCTCAGTGGCTGGGAGCGCTCGAGGGCCGGCTGGGCTCCGGGGCCCGGGGCCCGGAGGCACTTGGCGAGGGGGCGAGAGCCTCGAGGCCGGGTCTTTGGCATGGGTACCCCTCTTGGGGGCTGCCTTGGGGCTGAGGAGGGTGGGGTGGGGTGGGAGGCTGACCTGCCCAGCCCCAGGAGGGGTTGTGATCCCTGAGGAGGCAGCCACCGCCCGCTGGGCTCTTGGCCGAGGTGGTGGGTGGCCCGGAGAGCCCAGGGGCTCCGCGCCCTCCACCAAGTCTTCCCGGGGGCCCCGGCAAGGGCAGGGGGCAGGGGATGCCAGGGGGGTTGGGACTGCCTCCATGAGGGCACCAGGAGCAGGGGGCTCAGGGCTCTGGATCCTGTCTTGGGGTGCACTGGGCAGGCCCCCTATGGGGCTTTCTGGAGGCTGCAGTGGGGACGGGCCAAGGACTCCAAGTGCTGCCTGGGCCTGCTCTCCCCTGCCTGGGCCCAGCACAGGCTTTGGCTGCCTCAAGGGCAGTGGAGATGTTGGGGCAGGATCTTTGGCACAGTGCCCTCCCAGCCTGGGCACAGCTCTTGAAGGAGACTCTGAGCAGGAGCCCAGCCCAGCCTCTGAGCCCACAGCCATGGGAAGCCTGTGCCCAAGAGTGGCCCTTCCCTCCTCCACTGGGCTTGGGGGCCCCAACTGGCCAACCTCCAGGCTGGCAGTGGGACACACCCCTGGGCCATGAACCACTGGCTTTAGGGCCTCATGCCCCTGGTGCTCAGCCCCCAGGGCTTTCTTTGAGGGTGAACTGGACTCGGCTCCATCACCCCCATGTGCACAGACATCATGAAAGGCTTCCTGCTCAGGTGCCAAAATGCCCTCGGCTACTTCCTCCCCACTGGAGTCAGGCTTTGGGGGATCTTGGGCAGCTGTGAAAGGCTCAGGTATGTCTGGGATCTCTGTGGCAGGCTTGGAGGGGCCTGCATCTCCCTCCAAGGGTGTCCGAGCATCTGCAGGTAGGTCTGGGCCACCCAGATGTATCTGATCCAAGGCCAGAGAGTCTGAGCCTCCAGTGTGGTCTGGGTCTCTTTCCTCAGGCGCTGGCCTTAGTCCCAGGGTCTTTCTTCCTTTCCTACGGGCTGCAGTGACTGTGGGTTCTGTCCCTTGGGTACAGCCTGTGTCAGTCATAAGGGCCTGAGGGCTGGCACTGGTGGCAGATACTTGACTGGAGGGGAGACCTGCATCCTGCAGGGGTGGGGAGGCTGTCAGCTCCTCTTCTTCTGACTGGAGCTCCTGGCTGGCCTCGGAGGCAGATTCCTGGACCACGGGGAGACCTGCATCCTGCAGGGGTGGGGAGGCTGTCAGGTCCTCTTCTGACTGGGGCTCTGAGCTGGCCTTGGAGGCAGATCCCTGGACCAAGGGGAGAGCTGTGTCCTGCAGGGGCAGGGATGCTATCAGATCCTCTTCTTCTGAGTGGGGCTCAGGGCTGGCCTCGGAGGCAGATCCCTGGACCAAGGGCAGACCTGCGTCCTGCAAGGGCGGGGATACTGTCAGGTCCTCTTCTGACTGGCGCTCCAGGCTGGCCTCGGAGGCAGATCCCTGGACCAAAGGCAGATCTGCGTCCTGCAGGGGCAGGATTGCTGTCAGGTCCTCTTCTTCTGACTGGGGCTCAGGGATGACCTCGGAGGCAGATCCCTGGACCAAAGGCAGACCTGTGTCCTGCAGAGGCAGGGATGCTGTCAGATCCTCTTCTGACTGGGGCTCTGGGCTGGCCTCAGAGGCAGATCCCTGGACCAAGGCAAGACCAGTGTCCTGCAGAGGCGGGGATGCTGTCAGATCCTCTTCTGACTGGGGCTCCAGGCTGGCCTCAGAGATAGATCCCTGGGCCAAGGGGAGACCAGCATCCTGCAGGGGTGTGGATGCTCTTAGATCGTCCTCTTCTGATTGGGGCTCAGGGCTGGCTTCAGAGGCAGATTCCTGGACCAAGGGGAGACCTGCATCCTGTAGGGATGGAGACGCTGTCACTTCTTCTTCTGACTGGGGCTCAGGGCTGGCCTCAGAGGCAGATCCCTGGACCAAGTGGAGACCTGCTTCCTGCAGGGGCGGGGATGCTGTCAGATCTTCTGACTGAGGCTCAGGGCTGACCTCAGATGCAGATCCCTGGGCCAGGGGGAGACCTGCATCCTGCAGGGGTGAGGATGCTTTCAGGTCCTCTTCTTCTGACTGGGGCTCAGGGCTGACCTCGGAGGCAGATCCCTGCACCAAGGGGAGACCAGCATCCTGCAGGGGTGGGGATGCTGTCAGGTCTTCTGATTGGGGCTCCAGGCTGGCTTTGGAGGCAGATCCCTGGACCAAGGGGAGATCTGCATCCTTCAGGGGTAAGGATGCTGTCAGGTACTCTTCTTCTGACTGGGGCTCAGGGCTGGCCTCGGAGGCAGATCCATGGACCAAGTGGAGACCTGTGTCCTGCAGGGGTGGGGATACTGTCAGGTCCTTCTCGGACTGGGGTTCCAGGCTGACCTCAGAGGAAAATTCCTGGACCAAGGGGAGATCTGCATCCTTCAAGGGTAAGGATACTGTCAGATCTTCTGACTGGGGATCAGGGCTAGCCTCGGAGGCAGATCCCTGGACCAAAGGGAGACTTGCGTCCTGCAGGGGTGGGGAGGCTGTCAGGTCCTCTTCTTCTGACTCGGGCTCAGGGCTTGTCTCAGAGGCAGATTCGTGGACCAAGGGAAGTCCTGCATCCTGTAGGGGTGAGGATGTTTTCAGATCTTCTGACTGGTGCTCAGGGCTGGCCTCAGAAGCAGATCCTTGGACCAAGGGGAAACCTGCATCCTGCAGGGGTGGGGAGGCTGTGCGATCTTCTTCTGACTGGGGCTCCAGGCTGGCCTCGGAGGCAGATCCCTGGACCAAGGGGAGACCTGCATCTTTCAGGGTTGAGGATGCTGTCAGGTTCTCTTCCGACTGGGGCTCCGGGCTGGCCTCAGAGACAGATCCCTGGACCAAGCGGAGACCTGCATCCTGCAGGGGTGAGGATGCTCTTAGATCTTCTTCTTCTGACTGGGGTTCAGGGCTGACCTCAGAGACAGATCCCTGGACCAAGCAGAGACCTGTATCCTGCAGGGGTGAGGATGCTGTTAGATTTTCTTCTGACTGGGGTTCAGGGCTGGCCTTGGAGGCAGATCCCTGGACCAAGGGCAGACCTTCATCCTTCAGAGGTAAGGATGCTGTCAGATCTTCTTCTGACTGGCGCTCCAGGCTGGCCTCAGAGGCAGATCCCTGGACCAAGGGGAGACCTTCATCCTTCAGGGGTAAGGATGCTGTCAGATCTTCTTCTGATTGGGGCTCAGGGATGGGCTCGGAGGCAGGTCCCTGGACTAAGGGGAGACCTGCATCCTGCAGGGGCAGAGATGCTGTCAGGTCCTCTTCTTCTGATTGGGGCTCAGGGCTGACCTCAGATACAGATCCCTGGACCAAGGGAAGACCTGCATCCTGCAGGGGTGAGGATGCTGTCAGATCTTCTTCTTCTGACTGGGTCTCAGGGCTGACCTCAGAGGCAGATCCCTGGACCAAAGGGAGACCTGCATCCTGGAGGGGTGAGGATGCTGTCAGGTCCTCTTCTTCCAGATGGGGCTCAGGGCTGGTCTTGGAGGCAGATTCCTGGGCCAAGGGGAAACCTGCGTCCTGCAGATGTGGGAATGCTGCTGGATCCACTTCTGGCTGGGGTTCAGGGATGGTTGCAGCGGCAAACTCCTGGCCTGTGTCTTCCTTCAGGGTTTGCAGAGAGTTGAGGTCTGCTTCTCCCTTCAAAATCCAGGGCTCTGGGCCTAAAGTAGCAGTGTCTCCCTCCTGCAGAGGCTGAGATGGGACTGGGGCAACAGGTACTGGTCCCATGGTGAAGCCTGGCTCTTCTCCCTGGGCCTGAGGGCTCACCCCAGTGAGGTCCAGAGATTCCTGTGGGATGTGAGGGGCCATAGCAGGAGAAGACACCTGGGCTGCAGCGGGACCCACCCTCATTATCTTGGAGGTGGGTTCCTGACTCTTGGCAGCCTGGCCAGCCTCTCCCTCGGACACCCCAAGAGCGAGCTCTGGGCCCCAGGAGGCAGCCTCCCCAGGGCTGTCCTGGAGCAGTGTGGTGGGCTGTGCATGGGGCTCTCCGCTGTACAGCCTCTCATCATCAGCCCCCGTGTAGGAGGCCGAGTCGGGGTCAGAGGAAGCAGCCGAGGTGTCATCCCGGAAGGCGAAGGCCTCGTCCACGCCCTCGGTGATGGACAGGTCGGACAGCGACTGCAGAGAGGATGCAAATGTGCTATCATCCTCGCCTTCCCCGGCTAGGTCCCCTCTGGGGAGGGGGACCTCCTGCTCCTCTTCGTGCTCCTCCTCCTCCACTTCCTCCTCCTCGTGGGGCAGGGGTGTCACCTCTACCGCCTCCACCTGGAAAATCAGGCTGCCCTGGAAGGGCAGGAGGTAAGCAGGGATCATTGGGTCGTTGGCCAAGAAGTCCAGCTCGAAGAAGTGGCCCTCCTGGCCCCAGGAAGAGCTGCTGTCTGCTGAGAGGCTGGACTCTGGGGACGAGCTGTCCGGGGTCCCGGCAGGGGGCAGCTCCCTCTCATCGACCACAGACCCAGGTGGAGAGAAGCCCCAGCCTGAGGGTACATCCAGCCCTTCGGCCAGGGCCTGCAGGCTCAGAGAGCAGGATGGGGATGAGGCCCAGCTGTCCCCGTCTGCCGTGATGTATGAGCCAGTGGGCGAGGCTGGCAGCGAGTCCCCTGGCTCAGCCTGGGCATCCTGGGCGTCCCTGTGGGGCCCGGGGCCAGGGAGCAGGGTGGAGGCTGTCTTGGTGGGGGTGGAGGGAGGCGTGAAGTAGGAATCGGGGTCTGGGGAAGGGAAAGGCACAGCAGGGTCACCCTGAGAACACAACTCGGGGGGTGGGTTCAGGTTAGCATGCCCACCCTCCCAGTCCCTGAGCTCCGGCACGGTTGCCCTGGGCAGTGGGGCTGCCTGGCGCGTCTCCTCGCCCATTACAATTCGGGGCTCCAGGGAGGCTGGGAGAGGACCTTCAGTAGTAGGCCGAACCTCGGCAGGCCCTGGGCTGGGGCCGCCCTCTGCCTGCACCGCCCAGGCTGAAGGGGCGCGGCCCGGCCCTGCATCCCAGCTGGCTCCCTCAGGCGGGGGCCGGGCACCAGGCTTGCCGTGCAGGAACGCGAGAGCCAGGGCGCTGGGCCCAGATGTCAGGGCACAGTGCTCCAGCCGGTCCCCCTTTGGGGTGGTAGCCGCAGCCACATCACAGGACAGATCTGTGGAGACAGAAGGGCGTGAGAAGGGCAGGCATCTTCCCTGAGAGGCAGCTCCCCGGCTGCAGCTGTCCGTCCCTCAGACAAGAGTTGAGCAGAGGACCGGGGGCCCATGAGGCTGGGTGTCTGCTGAAAAGCGAGGTCAGGAGAAGGAAAGGGTATTGCTGTGCCCGAGGGATGATTTCCAAGAGTTCTGACCGTGGCAAGCAGCCTGGGGTCTGGCTTTCCTCCAAGATGCTCGTTAAAGATGAGACCAGCTCCTGTCTCTTAGGACACTAACTTGCTGACTCCATGCACGTAATCTGTGCCGCCTCAGCCGGGCTTGCCAGGAAAGGTCTGCTCATGACCTCCGTCGGTAGGCCCCCAGGGAGCAGGAAGCCTGCCCTCCACTCAGCTCTGGAACATTCCAGATCTCACACTTGCTGTGAAGTGGGAGTCTTGCTTCTCTGCCTTGTCTCTCTCCTTTCCCTGCTGCCTACACCTGAGGATGACCTGTCAGGGTCTCACTGGGCTCCGCTGCCCCACATCTGTTTCCAGAGTTGGCACATGCGAGAGGGAAAGCAGGGGCCACAGTGTGCTGTCCTCAGGCAGGACATCCCAGCTCATTGCTGGCTTGGTGATGGCCAATTGTGGAGCACACAGGGGCCCCGCCCTGCCCCATAAGCAGCTCTTAGGGGCTGTGGCTCTTGGGGCTCTGAGTGCATTCGGCTGAGTTGCCAGCAGCAGCCACCCCAACAAAGCTGAGGCTCATTTGTGTGGGTCCTACGGCAGCAGATAGGGACTGCCCAGCTCCGGCCATGTTCCCTGGAGGCTTCCACGTTCACCCATGACCACCCACAAGTACATCTCCTGTGCTTCAGCTTTCTGTCTGCAGAGTAGAGGTGAAGCTTAGGGCAGCCCCCTCCCCAGGCTCTGCCCATCTGCTGCAGCAGTGGCAGAACCCTGGGCCCTTCGGCCACACTGCTGGGGTGCTGGTAAGGCCAGAGGGTCCTGAGAAGAGAGTCCTTTGGGTCCACGGGAGTGTGATGAACACCTAAACCCTGGAGGTGGGTGTGGCCGGCGGGGCTGGGTGCTGGAGACCAGGCTCTTGGCACTGGCCTGGTAGGGTACCCCTGTGCACCCTCACTGGACTCCAGAACCCTGAGTCCTGGAGGGTGAGGGTGGGGTTGGGCACCAAGAGGACAGAGGAAGGGAAGCCAAAGGTCAAAGATTTTTGTGCCTCATTCAAGGCTGTTAAACAGTCCAAGCAGATTCCGCGGCCCCGCCTTTCCCGCAGCATCCCAGCGGGATGCTCCTCTCCTCCTCTCCACTAACGGGAGAGGGGTTCAGGGCCAGTCGGAGGTATCACCCCTTAATCGGGTCGGGAAGAGGCAGAAGGTCGTCAGAATTTGGGGTGCGGGGCCGAGGAGGGTGTTGGGGATTCTGGGGGACCGGCGCTTTGGGGGTGGCGGCGCCATAGGCCCCCTGCTCGAACACCCGGCTCCCAGCTGACTGGGCAGGGGTCCTCATCCTAGCCCGGTGCCTCCATCCAAGAGGTGAGCTGGCGCCGCAGCTCTTCACTGATTGGTCGGTCCTCGCACGTCGGTCTCCGTGGCAACCGCCTCCTGGCTCTATGGCAACCAGAACCGGCAGGCAGGAGCGCATCAGGGAAAGCAGCCCCAGCGGAGCCTCGGGTTGACTGGTCCCCGGGGTTCCCCGCAGCTCAGCGCTGTCCCATCCTTCAGCTCTTGGGCAATGGAAGGAAGACGGAGAAGCTTGCCTTCCTCCATTCTCAGCAGACGTCCCTGCCACACCCCCAAGGTTGCAAACCCTCCCTGAGCTTTCCGGAGATGTGCCCTTGCTTCCACACAGGCCCTCCTGCACTGAGATTCACCGATCATCCGCCCCGTGCCAGGCTCTGGGAGACAGTTGAACATTGTCATCACCCCAGAGCTAGACGGGGGCGGGGGTAGGCAATCAGAACAGCCATTGTTGTGAGGGAGTCTCCTCCATCCTCAATTTCCTGTTGGCTCTACCGCGGAGCCCATGGAGCCAGCGGCTGCCTGCTGGGCACCTCCCCAACACACCAGGCACCAGACCCATCATGTTCCAATCTAAGCCCTGCATCTTGCATCCCTCTCAGTCGCTGGAAATCTGTCCAGCTATCCACTGATAGGGAGCTCCTGTTCTTTGTCCCTTTTCTCCACACCCATCTTCATCCTCACCTCCTAAGAGTTTCTAAGTTGCCTCTTCCAGAGAATTCCCTAGTGGCCCAGTGATTAGGACTTTTTTTTAGCAGTGCTTTCACTGCTGGGGCCCAGGTTCAATCCCTTGTGGGGGAACTAAGATCTCACAAGCTGCGTCACGGCCAACAACAAAAACACTTGCTTCTTCCTATGGCCTCTCTGTCATCGCCTTAGCCAAGTCCTTCGTAAGTCTTCACCGTTCTGCCAGCCTCTGCCTCCTGGCAACACCAGAGACGTTCCAGAACACGGAAGCCTTTCATCAGTGCCTGAGTAGCTTCCTGTTTGGACAGGGTGACACAGGTTTGTCTCTCTGCTCCTCCTGGCTAACCATTAAAGATGTAGGAAATTAGAGACCACCAGAACTGAACTAAGACAAAAAGAGAAAGGTGAGCTGGAGAGGGACCCCAGGATTGGAGGAACAGCAGAGCAGCCTACTCAACAGAAGGGGAGAGAGAGCCTGGCATTTCCTGTCATCACCAGCTACTATGTACTGGGAGGAGGAACCTCGTATGAACTGAAGCCTGTGACAACCCTAGGGAGTGTGGCAGAAATGATATTGAAGATCAAGGGGAAGGCTCCTAAGGGGCCAAGGGAAGCCATTCCTCCCCACCTCATGCACCCCCTCTCTGGCTCTTACCCCCCACCTGACTTTCTGGGGGCCATTGGCAAAGGAAATTGCACCACAGCAGACTTTCAGCCCAGCAAGCTGGGTTCCCCCCACCCCCCACAGTCACAGGATGGTCCAGCCCAGAAAGTGCCTCAAGCCTATTCAAGAGCACCAGCAGAACGCGGCAAGAGACCAACACAGTGCTGCGAGTTATGAGAACCACAGGCCATGTAGCCCAGCACTACCCAACAAAAAGGAAAATTACACAATAAGAAAAATGTTAAGAAACACAGAACTGAAGTAAATGAAAATAAAAGCATTAAATTATGTGGTCTGCAGGTAGAAGTGCTGAGAGGGACATTTATAGGACGTTGGAAGAAAGGAAAGGTCTCAGTCAATCATCAAAGTTCCTACCTCAGGAAACTAGGAAAAGGACAAAATCAACTAAACTCAGCAGTAAGAAGGAAACAAAGCCAAGAGCAGAAATCAATGAAACAGAAAACAGGAAAACAGTGGAAGGAATCAATGAAACAAAAAAATAATAGTTCTTTGAAAAATCAGTAAAACTGCAAGATGGACAAAAATACAGAAGACACAAATGATCAGTATGCCATGGGGGCTATGATGGTTAATTTTATGTGTTAGCTTGACAGGGCTTAGGGATGCCCAGATAGTGGATTAAATGCTATTTCTGGGTGTGTATGCAAGGACATCTCTGGAGATGAGCATGACTCAGTAGACTAGATTCGGCCTCACCAGTGCGGGGTGGGGATCAACCAATCAGTTGCTGGGGGGAGGGAGGGTAGGGGCAGAGAAAAACAAAAAGGCAAAGTGTGAATTCACTCTCTTGAGCTGGGATGTCCACCTCTGACCCTTGAATACTGGAGCTCCTGGTTCTCCTGCCTTTGGCTTCCAGGGCTGACACCAGGGACACCACAGCCCCATCTGCCACCCTTCCACATTCTCGGGTCTTTGTACTTGAACTGAAATTATACCAGTGGCTATGGCTTTCCTGGTTCTTCAGCTTGAGAACAGCCAATTGTGGAACTCCTTGGTCTCTGTAACTGCAAAGCCAATTCCTATAATAAATCTCTTATGTTTATCTCTCTCATATTCTGTTGGTTCTTTCTCTGGAGAATGCTGATTAATAACAGGGCTAACACTCTGGAGCCTGAAGACATTTCAAGGACACCAAGGGAATGCTACAAACAACTTAATGCTCATAAATTCAACAACTTTGAAGAAATGGACAATTACTTGAAAATTAATATCTACCAAAAATTCAAACAAGATGAAACAGGTAACATGAATAGTCCTAAAACCATGAAAGAAACTGAATCTGTAACTTAAAAAAGCTTTCCCCAAGAAGTCTTCAGGTGCAGATAGTTTTATTTGAGTTCCATGAAGTATTTAAAGTAGTTCAGTTTGGTCATGTCTGACTCTCTGCAACCCCATGGACTGCAGCATGCCAGACTTCCCTGTCTATCACCAACTCCCAAAGCTCGCTCAAACTCATGTTGAGATGAGTAGTTAATTCAACTCATTTAAAGTAAAATTAACATCAATTTTGGACAATCTCTTTCACCCAAATTTGGAACTTTTGTGTTTCAAAGGACACCATCAAGAAAGTGGAAATACAGTCCACAAAACGGGAAAAAGTATTTGCAAGTCCTCTGATAAGAGATATGTTTCTAAATATATAAAGAACTCTTACAACTCAGTAAGACAACCTAGTTTAAAACTGGACAAAGGGTCTGAACAGGTGTGTCTCCAAAAATTACATGTAAATAGGTCATAAGCACATTAAGACACCATTAGTCATCATGGAAAAATGAAAATCAAAGCCACAGTGAGATACCACCTCATACCCAGCAAGATGACTAGAAGTCAGGTTAAGTGTTCCACATCCCTAGCCATTAGGCAAATGCAAGTAAAAAGATAACTCCACACCCATTGGAACTGCTCTGGCTTGAGAACGCCATAGGCTGGCAGGGATGTGAACTTCACGGCTTCCTACACTGTTGGTGGGAATTTAACGTGGTGCAGAACCTTTGGGAAACCCTGTGGCAGTTTCTTAAGAAGCATATAAATCCCTTATGACCCAGCAGCTGTACTCACAGGCACTTGTCCCAGAGAAATGAAAACTTGGGTTTACACAAACACCCACACATGGGACTGAACCACAGTCTAACAGCAATAACAAGGAAGGACCTACTGGATCAAACTCCAGAGAACTGTGCCTGTGAAGAAACTCAATTTCCAAACTTCATATACTACATCATTCCTGTAAGGAACTTTCTCCAAGTAACAAAATAGAAATGGAGGACGTGTTGGTAGCTGCTGGTTGGCTCAAGGCCAAGGGGGTAGGTATGAACATAAAGGGCAACACGAGATATCCTGGTGGTGATGCAGGTGTCCTGCGCATGGACTTTTATTCTTGTCAGTCAGTATCCTGGTGTGACATGTGCCCATCACCTTTGAGGGAACTGGTAGTGGGCACAGGAGGCACTGTGTAGTTTCTTTCAGCTGCAGGGAATCTGAAAAAGTATCTCAACTACAAGCCACAGATCCTGAATGGTGAACATGAGCTTTCCTTTGTGGGACCTCCCAGAGGTCCCCGAAACTGGCTCAGCACCCCTGATGCTTGTCCATCCTGGCCCTTCACTTTGGTACACTCTTCTCCGCTCCCTCACTTTGTCTGGGCTCTGAGTCACCGGCTTCAAAAAGCCATCTTGGCTGTTTTGTTCTCTGGGCCAAGAACCTCAGCCAGCCTGTGCCAAGTGCCAAGCACCCACATCCTGTGAGCTAACAACCCAAAGCTTGTGTGACTTGCTTTCTGAGGGGCCACTTTGGAGGGAGTGGGGATCAGTTGAGAGCGGGGCCCAGAGAAGCCAGATGGCCCTTCTCTGCTCAGCTCCACAGCAAAGTCTCTTATGATGGACTAGAAGCTAGAAAGCCTTTTTTTTGGGCTTTGGTATTTGGCTTGTGGGATCTTAGTTCCCCAACCAGGGATTGAACCTGGGCCCCCAGCAGTGGAAGCAAGGAGTCTTAACCCCCTACACTGCCGGGGAAGTCCTGGTGACACTGCTGCTGATGTGGGCTCCTTAGGCAGATGGTTACCACAACGGTGGCACGCCACCATGGCACTCTGGTCCAGGTGTAAGGACACCAAGGGGTCTCTTCTGGTCCTGCAGTGTCAGTCAAGTACACTCCTTTCTTCTTCTCAGAGCCAATGCCTCCTGAGGGACTGGCACTTATACCACATGGCAGCACAGGCCGTCAGGGTGCCCCACTCACCCAAGCCCATCGGATGGGAGGGGACCTTCCAGGATGCCATGCACTGAAAACCCAACTGGCCTCCCGGGAAGGTCCTCACATGCTGACGTTCAGAACTCCAGGACTCAGCCCGTACGGGGGCTGACTGCAGGCTTCTGAGCAACAAGCCAGCTGTGCACAAATGTATGAGAGGGATCCTCTGTGGGTGGCAGAGAAGCCGGGATAGTCGGGCAGTTGATTAAGAATTTATTACTCATGAGAGAATGACCTGCTACTCAAGAGATGCTGGCCACCGGCCCACTTCCCCACTTCCAAGGCCAAGGTCCTACACTGAGGTCTGTCCTAGAGCATGCCACCTCTTGCCCACCCAGTGCCCACGGCTAGGCTTCTGGAGAAGTCCGGCCCCCTGGGCACACAGTCCGTGCTATGGGGCAGGTCATTTGGCCAGCTCCTCTGCCACGGCTTTGCGCATCTTGTCCTTGAGATAGGCGCTCTTCTGCCATTCAGACTTGAGTTCCATCCACTCATAGTATGGGACCTGGGGGAAGCAGTGGAAACGAGTCAGGGCAGGTGGGACCCCCGTCATGCCTCCCGCCCTGCGCATCACACCCCTGGCACCCAAATCCTGAAGGAAGAAGCCTATGGAGAGCAGAGTGGGTGGCCAAGAGACCCCAACTTGGTCAGTGCTCAGAGCTGCAGGGGCCCATAAGTAAATGGGACCAAGAGCAGCTTCAAGATTTTAAAAGCTGTATCAAAGGCAAAAGTAAACACTCAAAAACAAGCCACTTGTGTATTTTCTGGCCCCATACAGGACAGCCTGCTCTCCGGTGCAGATGTCTCCATGTTGAGAACCTGGGACCAGGCCCGGGGCTGGACCTTAGCACAGAGCCCCGCGTGAGGCACAGGTCAGCAAGAGGCCCTGGCCACCGGGTTTGTCTTACCTCTTCCTTTCAGAAACCCTGGCTGTGGAGATGGGAACAGCAGCAGACACTTAAAAGCTGTGTGACGTTGGGAAAAACCTAACACCCTTCTAAACTCCCCTTTTCTCATATGTGAAGGGGGAACCCCAACATGGGCGACCTCAAGAGCTGGGGTCCGACACTGGCTCCCATCAGCCAGCTGGGACTAGAAGACACTCACGTCGACCAGCAGGAAGCCAGCGGCCAGCAGGTGGCGCCGGGCCAGCACAAAGCGCCCCAGCAAGTCTTTGCTTCGGCTGTTGAAGTTGGGGAACTCCCAGCGAAGGAAGGCTAGCCTGGAAGGGGAGATGGGGTGCTGTGGATGCCGACAGCTCCCTCAGGCCCTTGGAGGGAAGAGGGAATGCCAGAACCAAACGCACATGGCCCCCAAGGGTGGTGTGGCCACCTACCTCTTGGCCCCAGGGGGGAGTGGCTGGCTGCCAGAGGGGGCGAGGTGGGGGGCCACAGAGTCGCTCAGGGGCAGGAGCTGGCCCTCCGTGTCGAGCAGTACCTCAGCATCTGAGGAGGGCACAGAATTAAAATGTGGTGGGGACTACCCCTCAGAGATCAACTGGGCCCATAGCCCCTGCCCTTACAGTTGATCCACAGACACCCTGGGGAGCAGAGGGGATTTGCCGGGAGGGAAGGGGACGATGGGTCCTCACCCAGAACCCAGCCATACTGCGTGGCCACCATGAAGCTGCCCTTGTCGGCACTCCCCAGCAGCCCCTTCAACGTCTCCTGCAGCTCCTTCTGCAATGGGGTCATCTTCTGTTCAAGGGCCGAGGGACTGGGGACCAAGGCTGAGGTAGGCAGAAGGGGTCCCGTGTACTCAGGGTGCTCCAGCTGGGCAGTGGCATTGATATGCAGCAGCTTCTGGAAGGTGCTTTGATCCTTTGGAGCAGGATGGGGAAAGCAGGTTTTGCTCAGTGGCCACAGGCATCCCTGGGCGGGCAGCAGCTGGAGCTGCCCTATGACCTGGACATGCTGAGGCCCAAGGGGGTGAGGCAAGTAACCTTGACCGAGGCACTCTTGGTCAGGATTGGGGGACCCCTGGGGGCAGGTACCAGAAATCCTCCTCATCCCTTAGTTCCAATTGGGACAGCAGCTGCCCCCTCCTCCCACCCACTAGCAAGAACCTATGCACAAAACCGTGCCACCAGCACAGGGGAGGTGTTTCTGGCCCCAAGAGCTGGAGATTATGAAAGGGGAAGCAGCTGGCTGGCTGGGGGAACACCCACTGTGGGGGCCCGGGGTCATACCCAGTTCACTCATTGGATGCTCTCACCCTGGCAATTGGATTGAGTCTCTGAGCCCCAACAGGGCATTAAGGGAACACCAGGAAGTAAGATAGCTCAAAGCTTCCCTGGTGGCTCAAACAGTAAAGAATCTGATCGCAAGGTGGGAGACCCAGGTTTGATCACTGGGTCGGGAAGATTCCCTAGAGAAGGGCATGGCAACCCATTCTAGTACCAGAAACCCATTCTGGCCTGGAGAATTTCATGGACAGAGGAGCCTTGTGGGCTACAGTCCATGGGGTCACAAAGAGCTGGACATGACTGAGGGACTAACACACACATAGGAAGTTAAGAACAGGGGTCCCCCAGCCCCACTGCCAGTGAGCCACTGGATGCCTTCCTGGTTCTTGGCTGCCATGCTGGCTCTCATCTGTCCCCAGACAACCCCTGGGGTGTATGGCTCCAGCCAGCTCCTTCCACCAGGCTTTCTTCCTTTCTGCCTCCCTACCTGGGACCCCTCAGTACAAATCCGGCCTCTTCCCTCCCTCCCCCTCAGCCCTACGCTGCTCCGAGCACAGCAGCAGAGGGTGCAAAGACCGTACCAGGCTGAAGAATGGATCCTCCCGCTCTGGACGGAAGTTCACACGGGCGAAAGCTAGCAGCATGTTGCACAGGTGTGGCAGAGTGATGCTCTGGGCTCTGTCGAGGACGTGCTGGGCCGATCAGGGAGGACAGAAAGGCAGGATGAGAGGGGGCCGGTGGTACGCAGACCTGGCCCTCCCCCAGAAGCCATGTGCTCCCAGCCCAAAGGGGGTAATTTACACAGGGCAATGGGCAGAGGGCTAGCGCTGTCCTCCCCAAGGCAATCATACACACATAAAAGGTCCCTGACAACAGCTTCAGAAATACTCTTCAGCCTATAGACAACCTGCTGCACCTAAATCTCAATGCAAACATTCTCTTTCTTCACAACTCCATTTTGCAGCTGCTGGAAGTTTAGGGAGAGTTTTGAGTGGATTCCTGGCCTTCCTGTCTGCACTGCTCCCCGCACAGTCACCCAAAGACACACACAGTCTGTCACCTACAAAGTCTGGTGAAATAATGAAGAAAGCCGTTTCAACTACACTTTCTTTCACAACTGAGTCATACTGCTTCTCTCCAAAGAAACTGGAGTAAGGACTCCGTATCTGCCACCAGGAAGTGCTCTGGACTGGCTGAGCCTCCCTGATGAAATGCGCAGGGGGTCAGGCAAGGAGGGCCCTGAGAACCGAGGCCTGACGCCTGCAGCCCAGCTCACCTGGACGAAGGCCTCGAACAGGGGCAGGTTGAGCCATTTAAGGAAGGCGAAGGACTTGGTGCAGCGGGCTACCTCGCTGGACGTCATGCTTGGCGTGTGGGGCAGCAAGTCGGCTGCCAGGCGCTGGAACACCTGGGTCTGGTGGAAGCCGAGTTTGCCTTGGGGACAGAGCCTGAGATTTAACTGGTAAGAAGTGGCAGGCTGCCCTCAGGTCCACCCCACCACCCACCCTGGTCTCAAGGAGTAAGAGCTTGGTGTCTGTAACCAAATTTATCCCTGAGGCCTAGCACAAGAGGATCAGGGCCCATGAGTCACAGTGTTTCTGTAGCAGCCTTTTGGGCCAGTGCCTGTCACGGGTGAGGTAGGCACCGAATTTGACACAGCTGCGGCCAGAACCCCCCCACCTCCCAGCCTCACCCCTCGTGCATAGAGCTCACCATAGGCATAGGCCAGGTCCAGGAGGATGCTTTTAGTCAACGGGAATGGCTTCTGGACCAGGTGGTAAGAGATGGCCCGCAGCAAGGGCACCGATCTCCGGTTCTGAGCTGCCAAGGTCACCAGCACCTTCCGCAGCTCCTCAGGGCCAAACTGCTCCACCAGCTCCAGGCACTGTCAACCACAGCCGGCAGGGGTCAGCTTGATGGCCTGAGGGCCAGGGGTCCCATGCAGTGCAGGCCCTGCGAGACAGCAACTAGGCCTGAGCTTACTAAACACAAGCCCCATCAGTGCAGGGCCTGCCTCTGCTCCTACTCCACGAAGTCCCCAGACTGGGGATGCCGTGTCCGTAGCCAAACTTATCCCCAGGTCCCAGGGCAGGGGACCCAAGGCCCATGAGCTGCGGAGCTTGCTGTGGCAGTCATCCGGGCCAGCCCCTGCTACCATGGGAACAGGGCTGAATTTGACTTGACTGCGGGGCTGAGACAGGGTAGAGCAGGGGGCGGCAGGTGTGATGTCTCTAGGAAGCATTAACTGAAGCTGAGCCAGTGGGGTGCTGAGGCCACACTGCAGGAGCTACTGGCCATGCTGTTTCCAGGTCATGTGCAAGATGCAATTCTGGAGGAACTACAATTTTGTTCAGGCTCTGCAACCCCCTGGATTCTTGAAGGAACCAGTGGGCAAAGTGCTGCCTGCAGCTACCTAAAGCACCAGTCCTGCCAGTGCCATGCCCCGGACTATGGAAAAAAGTCACAAGGCTCTTGTCCCTTAGTACCTTGTCTTCCAGGCGGTTCATCAGAGACTCCGAAAGATGCCCAGCTTTCATCATCATGGCCACCACCGTGCGTTTGTCTTCAATTTCTGCCCAGCGCCGCTCGAGGTGCACAAGCAGCTCAGCCAGCAGCTCTTGGGAGCCTTGCTCCTGCATGTAGGTGGCGCTGGACTCGGCCAGAAAGGCCAGATGCTTGTACTTGAGCCTGCGCATGCGCCAGCGGACCTCCTGCTCCACTGACCGCAGCTCCTTGGAGGTGGCGGGGAGCCCCAGCGTGTAGAGGCTCCGGAGCAGCTTCACAAGGGTCCCATGCCAGATTACAGTTATCTAGGTGGGGGGGCGGGGGGAGACACACACAGGCAAAGTCACACCTGGGACCTTATTGATCCTGTCATGAAGCAGGCCAAGGCTCTGAGCTGGAGTCTGCCTCCCAAGAACCAGTCATTTTAATGTAGGCATTTCTACTGGGCACACCAGGCATCTCCTTAATAGCCTGTCTGGGCCTGTTTTCTGCCCACAGCGCTCCCTCCTCCTCCAGCTCCATTTCTGAACAAGGGTGACCCAGCCATTCTCTGCAGGGTATGCTTCCAGGCCTCAGGAGCCCTCTGGCCCAGACCCCACCCTCAGAGAAGGCAGTATGTGGTACATGCGAATGGCTCTGTTGTCTGTTAGGCTAAGGCTGTTAACACTGCCACTCTTCAAGTCTCCAGACTCTTCTGTGAAATGGGGCTGCACTGCCAAGAAGGGGAACTGAAATCACACACATGAGATGAGGGGCAAACAGAAAAGCAGTTGTGTGAAGGGCTGGGCAGAAGGACAAAAGTATGGGGGATTCCCTGGCAGGACAGTGGTTAGGACTCCAGGCTTTTACTGCCAGGGTCCAGGGTTCAATCCCTGGTGGGGGATCAACAATCCCACAGCCATGGTGAGGGGGGAAAAAAGAGAAGTTTGAATTTGATCTCAGCATCACATGAGCCTTCAGTGACTTCTGCTGTTTCTGCAGAATTCCCAGACAGTAGGAGGACTCTTTAAAAGAAAGCTTGATCAGTTTATATTTCTAAATGCTGGTAGCCTGTCTGGGCCTGTTTTCTGCCCACAGCGCTCCCTCCTCCTCCAGCTCCATTTCTGAACAAGGGTGACCCAGCCATTCTCTGCAGGGTATGCTTCCAGGCCTCAGGAGCCCTCTGGCCCAGACCCCACCCTCAGAGAAGGCAGTATGTGGTACATGAGAATGGCTCTGTTGTCTGTTAGGCTAAGGCTGTTAACACTGCCACTCTTCAAGTCTCCAGACTCTTCTGTGAAATGGGGCTGCACTGCCAAGAAGGGGAACTGAAATCACACACATGAGATGAGGGGCAAACAGAAAAGCAGTTGTGTGAAGGGCTGGGCAGAAGGACAAAAGTATGGGGGATTCCCTGGCAGGACAGTGGTTAGGACTCCAGGCTTTTACTGCCAGGGTCCAGGGTTCAATCCCTGGTGGGGGATCAACAATCCCACAGCCATGGTGAGGGGGGAAAAAAGAGAAGTTTGAATTTGATCTCAGCATCACATGAGCCTTCAGTGACTTCTGCTGTTTCTGCAGAATTCCCAGACAGTAGGAGGACTCTTTAAAAGAAAGCTTGATCAGTTTATATTTCTAAATGCTGGTTCATTACTGGCTTGTAATTTTGCTACAGTGTTTAGTCTGTCTCTAAAGCTTTTGTGTTTGTAATTTTGCTACAGTGTTTAGTCTGTCTCTAAAGCTTTTGTGTAAAAGGTTTAATAAATAATGAATAGAATGATAGTTTTAGAACAAGAAGGGATCTAATTAAGATAATTCATATGAACTATATTCTCAGTAAGAAAAAAATCTGTACTGTGACATGGGGTCACAGTACAGATCTGTCTTTTAACTAAAGACAAAAGGTTCCGTGAAACAATACTTCCCTTACTATCTGTGAACTGTTTCCAATATTACTCTATTTCCACACCCACTATACTCTCATAACCTGCAGTTAAAAAAACTCATTTAATTTGACCCCTCCCTTGAGCTGTGAGTCTCTTCGTCATCCCTGACAAGCGGACATGGCCTTGCCTTTCCAGAGCAGCCAGGTTGAGGGTCTGTACCTCTTTTCTATGTCACAGGCGGCCCTTCGGTTCCAGTAGACCCCAGGGTGCCTGAAGTCTGCATGGAGTCCTTCTTCACACCGAACAGGAACTGGGTTGAGTTCTTCCTGCACCCACCCCTGCCACACACAAGTCCCTTCTCTCCATGTTCCTGCTCTAAGGATCTGACTGGCTGGGATAACACCCATGGTCAGTTCCAAGTTTCTGAGATCCTCTCCTAGTCACCCTTCATCTCCTCCAGTTTCAAGAGTGTGTCGCCTGTCAGCCAGACACAGAGGAGGGGCCACATCAGTCAAGACTGCATGGTGAGGGGGAGGCCCCCGATGCACTGAAGAAAAACCAGGCTCAATCCTTTTGTTTGTATTTACTGTGCCTGGGCTGCCTGTAAGATAAGGACAGCAATATTCACCTAACAGAGCTGTCATGAGGATTAACAGAAGTGAAAGCACATTAAAGTATTCTGGAAACTATAAAATGAAAAAATACCACAGGACGTGGATGGACTAAGCACACAGCAGTTTCTGTCTATACTGGGAGAGTGACTGGACGCTTTGGACTCTGTGGCCTCTGCTATATTCTGCTTGCTGAACCTGCAGAAAAGGCTCCAGAACCCACCTGGCTGTTGACAAGATGGAGAAGTTGCCAAAAGCGAGCATCCTCTATGAGTGTGGCTTTGTCTTTTGGCTTCTCAGAGAGTAGGCGAGAGAGCTGGATAAGCGCGAGGGCGGCATGGTTCTGCTGCAGACAGTGAGCACCCCCCAGGAGCTCCAGGAGCTCCTCGGGCTGGGTGGCCTTCTCGATGAGCTGCTCCACCTCCTGGCGCCCAGGATAGGGAGCAAACACCTGTTCCTTCTCTACAAGCTCTGACAAGGGACCTGGGAGGCGGGAGCTGGGCGAGGTAGCTGAGGAAGTCAGCGGCTTCTGGGTTCCCTGGGGGAGTCTCAGCTGGCTGACGGGCGACACAGCAGGGGCCAGGCGGGTGGCCTCCCTTAGGAGGCATGTGCATCGCCTCACCAGCCGAGCGGCCATGATGGCTTGGGCGGCAGCGAGGGGAGCCTCCTAGCAAGTGACTCCAAAGCCCTGAAGAGGAAAAGAAGAAAGAGGTGGTTCCCGGTTCACAAACACAACAGAAGAACCCAACAAACGCAAGGGAGCCACAGCCACACTCTCCATAGGCCAGCCCAAACTCCTCCTGACTGACCACCCACAGGCAAAGGCATGTTCTGAAGCGAAAATCTCAGAGGGCTTTTGTTTCAGGGCAGAACGTAACCCAACACTGAAACTCAGGAGCATTAGTCTGGGTTGGAGGGCTTCCAGTCCTGGTTGTGGAATTACCTAGAAATGGTTCAACACTTCAGAACCCCAGGCCTGGTCCAAGACCTCTTGAGTAGGAGTTTCTGCAAGCAGGGTTTGAATAGCATTCCACCCACTCCCCTCCCACCCCCGCTCCCTTTTAAGTTTTAAAAGTACCCAGGATTAAAAAATTATTGCCTTACAGAGAAAATGAGACAGAATATTTTAAATTAGATTATTCCCAGAAAATCCTAGACATATAATCCATATATACATCCCACAGCTTCTGTGGATGTATTTTTATTAACTTTATAGACATGTGAGTGAGCCTTCCCAAACCAACTCGCACTATTACATCACTAATCTACTAAACACACATACAACCCTTCTGAGAGCAAAATCCCTGAACCAATCATAAAAAGCAGTTCACAACATGGCGCAGAATTATTTTCCCAGTTTTACCTTTTCTTCCCCTCTGGAGCACACTCCCTCATTCTCAACAGGACTTGCACTTTCATTATATCTGGGCAGGGCAGGGCAGGGCAAGACCTGCTGCCTCATTTTTTTTACCCGCCATCACAGGGCTCAGGAAATCAGCCTCCATCTTTCCGCACTCAGATAAAACGTTACCTCCTCCCAAAATGTTATATACCCGATGCTACTGCTTTCTAACAACTCTGTCTCGCGCACTAGCGTGATTAAACGACCTAGGTAAGGCAGACCCCCTGCACACGATAAAGGGTTAACCCGGGCTCTGTTCTGCCAAAGCAGAGAGAGTATTTGACCTTAGATTTCCCAGAACTTGGTCATGAACATTTTAACGTGAGCTGATTGTTGCAGCTGTAAAAAGTTTAGGCTCACTGTACACAAATCAAGAGGCTCAGGGAGGAGAAATACTGGCCCAAGGGCAACATCCACATACATCCACAAAGCCCCAGCGGCGGGGAAGCACTGGAAACGATCCCTACTAAAGACAGTCCTACGAGCTGGTGAGGAATCGAGTTCAACTCAGAGGGACTTAAGAATCCTTAACACCAACCCGGAAGTTCGGCCCTCAGACGCAGAAAAGAGAATCACCTTTACAAAGAGCACGCAGCGACCGCGCCGAGGGTCAGTGCGGGGATCGTAGGCCGTCACGCGGGACCTCAGAAAAGGGGCGCGTGCGCACGAGCAGGCACTGCTTTAAACCGGCCCCGGCCCCTGCCACCCACCCCGATCCACTGCGTCCCAGTGCGCCCTCCAGGTCTCCTCTCCCAGCCATGACCCCAGGTCTTCAGGACCCCATTTCCCCCCTGGTCCCGATACGTACGGCACCACCGCCGCCGCCGCTACCGCGAGCTCCGCCGCTGACCTCCATGCGCCCCAGTACTGCCCTCGGTCCACGCTGCGCGGCGCGCTCGTTTACGTCACTCGGAGCGCCGCAGGAAGCGAGGCTCGCCGCCTGCTGCCCGGCCGGAAGTTGTTGCAGGTTCCTTTTTCCGGCCGGGTGCCATCTTCGCTGAGATCGGGAACTAGGTGGTGGGAAGCGAATTGAGATGTGTTAAGCGATTTAGGAAAAAATGGAAGGGGGAAAAACATAAAAGTGTCCAGAAACGGAGGCTTGAGCGCCAGCCTCTGGTTAGTACTTAGCTTTCAAAAGGAGTATAGGAGGCGACCCTTTGTCGTCAGTCGGCTCCCGCGGCCTACCGCCGCGCCTTCCCCTCCTTCCTATGTGTCTCTATAAAGAAGCCCCGGCTGTAGACCAGGAGTGGGCTGGGCTGCGACTCGCTGGGGAGGCCTCTCAGCCTAGGTCTGCGGAAATGTAGGGCACCATTTGCCCAGATCTTGCGTTTTTTCCAAAAAAGAATGTAGAGTTATGGAATTGTATGTGCAATCTCTTGGTTTTTAAGTGTTTCCCTTTAATTACAAAAGAAACTGCGGGGTAAGCCAAGCAAGATATATTTGAGGTCTGTGGACTTGACTAATTTTTTTCCTGCACAAATTTCTATTTCCATGGAATTAGAAACTGCTTTTTTGGGGTTTGATTAAGCTTTTATGTATTTATCACAAATTCTCCAAATCCTTCACAGCTTCAGAGCCTAAATCTCTCAAGATGTTCTGACACTTAAGATAGGTCACCAGGTTAATATTACCGAAGGAGTCTCTTTTTTGAGGCTTATGACCTCCAGTGTGGGATTATCACTGCTATGTTCTCAGCGCAGGTGTCATCCTGGGGTCTGTTTCCCTTTACCATGTATGTGCTCTGTTCCTTTTGCTTTCCTTGATGCTTACTTTCTTATTTTCTGTCCTTTACCTTATTTCTTGGTTTATGCCCTTGTTTGGGTGGAGCACATCCTCCAGTACTTCTATGAGAAATGATGCCAAGGAGGTTACGTATTTAAAGGCCTATCAGGTCTAAAATGTATTTTTTGTATCCTGCTTGATGGTATTTCGACTGGCTACTGTATTTTAGAAATCATTTCCTGGTTTTGAAAACATAGTCTGTGAACCTCTAGCTTTCATGCTTCTGGTGTTTGTGAGGAGTCTAGAAATTGTATGTGAGATGTTTTGTTCACTTGCCCTCCTTCCCTTCTTCCTTCCTGTCCTTTCCTTCCATCCATTTTTTTTTTTCAAATTTCTAAAAGTTTGTATCTTCTCATTATGCCTAGGGTTATGATATTTCATAGTGATGTTACTTGGTGTATCTATGTCTTATTGACTGAGCACAAGAAGAGCCTTCAATCTAAAAACTCATTTTCTCAGTCGTGAAACTTGTTATATATTTTGTTGAATATTTCCTTTCCTCTGCTTTCTCTGTTTTCTCTTTCTGAAACACCTAGATTTGAATATTGGCTTTTCTGGGCTGATAGCTGATTTTCTCTAGCTTTCCCATCTTACCTCTTCTACTGTTTATCTGTTTATATGTGTTTATGCTCCACTTTCTTGGAGATTTCCTCAAGTTGGCTTCCAGCTCTTCTGAAAATTTGATTTCTGCTATCATACTTTTACTTACCAAAAGTTCCTTTTTGGCTGTTAAATGTTCCTTTTTTATGGTATCTTTTTTTGTTCTTTCAGATTGCAGTATTTTATCTCTGAGGATTTTTGTGATAAGGATGTTTTTTCTAAGCTTTTCTTCTCTCTGTAGAGTTCCTGTTCTTTTTTCCTTTTGTTGGTATTCATATTTGGTTTTTATCCTCAGATATCTACTTATATTTAAATATAGTAAGAAGGAACTCTCATCCCTTGCTGGTGGAAGTGCAAAAAAGTACAGCTACTTTCAAAGACAGTTTAGTAGTTTCTTAAAAAACGAAACATACTCTTACTGTGTTCAGTGAACTGAATGTTTATGTCCCCGTTGCCCCCCGTCCCCCCTATTCATGTGTTGAAACCTATTGCCCATGGTGTTGGTATTAGGAGGTTGGGGCCTTTGGGAGGTGATTAGGTAATGAGAGTGGTGGCTTTATATTGGGATTAAGTTCTGTTATGAAAGAGACCCCAGAGAGCTTCCTTGGTCGTTCCACCATGGAGAACATTGTGTGTGTGTGTGTGTGTGTGTGTACACATACAGGTGCTCAGCTACGTCTAACTATTTGCAACCCTATGGACTGTGTGTGTGTGTGTGTGTGTGTGTGTATGTGTATGTAGATGCACAGGTACTCAGTTATGTCTGACTCTTTGCATCCCTATGGACTGTAGCCCTCCAAGCTCCTCTGTCCTTGAGGTTTTCCAGGCAAGAATATTGGAGTAGGTTGTCATTTTCTCCGAGGGGATCTTCCTGGCCTAGGGACTGAACCCACTTCTCCCACATTGCCCGTGGATTCTTTACTGCTGAGCCATTGGGGAAACCCAGGAGAAGACAGTAAGTCTACAATACAGAAGAGAGCACTCACCCAACTGTGCTGATGCCTAATCTTGAACCTACAGCCTCCAGAACTATGAGAAACAAATTCTTGTTTTTGGGCCACAGAATGTATNGATTCATGTCAATGTATGACAAAACCCACTACAATATTGTAAAGTAATTAGCCTCCAACTAATAAAAATAAGTGGGAAAAAAAAAAGAAATGAGCTATTAAACCATGAAAAGAAATGGAGGAAACTTAACATGCAAGTTACTAAGTGAAAGAAGCCAATCTGAAAAGGCTGTGTACTGTATGATCCCAACTATAAGACATTCTGGGAAAAGCAGAATTATGGAGACAGTAAAAAGGTCAGCGGTCGAGGGGAAGGAGGGATAAATAGGTGGAGCACAGATTTTTAGGGCCCTCCAAATTGTATGATACAATAATGGTGGATATGTGTTACATACTTGCCTAACCCATAGAATTCAACAATAAAAGTGACCCCTAATGTAAACTGTGGTCTTTGGATGATAATAATGTGTCGATGTAGATTCATTGATAATAATACATGTATCACTCGAGGATATGTGTGTGGTATGTGTTTGAGGGTTATATGGGAACTCCTGTACTTTTCACTCAATTTTGCTATGAAGTTAAAACTTCTCTAAAAAAAACAATACTAATTAGAAAAAAAATGAAAATCTGATTCACATAAGGACATACATTAATCTCAAATATGTCAAATCAAAAAACTCAACAATAAAATGCAATAACCCAGTTTAAATATGGCCAAAAAATTTGAGTTGACATTTCTCCAAAGAAAATACACGAGTATCCATAAACAAATGAGAAGATTGGGAAATGCAAATGAAAATCACAGCCGCTTCATATCTATGTAGGATGGCTGAAGTTAGAAACCCAGAATATAACAAGTTTTGGTGAAGGTATGGAGAAATTGGAATATGTATACATTGTTGGTGGGTGTATAAGTGGTGCAGCTTTGGAAAACAGTTTGGCATTTCCTCAAAACAGAGTTACTGTGTGACTCCTTAGTATGTAGGAAATGGAAAATGTCAACACCAAAACCTGTATGCAAATGTTCATGCAAGTATTACTCATAAAACCCAAAAAGTATAAACAGCCCATATGATGACCAATGGATGAGTGAACAAAATATGGTATATTCATAAAATAGAATATTAGTCAGCCAAAATTAATGTAGATGAAACTTTAAAGCATTATGTTATGTGAAAGAAGTGTGAATGAAGAATGTTCTCTGCTGTGTCAGTGAACAAAGGATTCTGCAGCCATCAAGCCACTACAGCTGTGTGCCTCCCACCCCACCCCCCATGCTCAAGGAACTCAAGTTGGAGACAAATGGGCTGCCCTGGGCTGCCTGGCCCTCAGCTGCTATAGCCACCCCCCAATGATGCACCCTAAGGGGACTCAGAATGGGAAAGACCGGGATACTGGCCCTAAATAATTAAGGTGCATATCAAAGGAGCAATTTCAATGAGCCCAGACTCTTGCATCTTCCCATACATAGAATCTAGGACTAAACTAATTAACTTGAGATGCCAGGTTTTCTTTAATTAACAGTAACCTTTTGATGTTCTGACTAGATAGTTTTTGTTACAAAACTCCTGTATTCCTGACTCCTCTTTTACCTCTTCAGAGTCATCCTCAGAGCAATCAGAGTCTGCTCCCCTAGTCTTGAAATCCTCAGAAAGTCCAACAAATAAAACAGAATTCTCATCTTTTAAGCTGTGCATTTTTTTTTCAGTCAACAGAAGCCAGTCAGATGAGACTATATATTATGTCTTCATTTATATGTAATGTCCTGAAGAGGCAAGTCCATAGACTCAAAAGTAGATGAATGATTTCCAGGGGTTGGGGAGATGGTGGAGGTGGTGATCTGGGTGGTGGTTGGGGAGTGGTGGTGATGTAGAAAGGGGAGTGACGGGTATGGGATTTCTTTTTGGGGTGGTGAAAATAATTTGGAATTGAATTAACTGGATCTATAACATGTCACTGAGTTCACATTAAAGAATGAATTTTATGTTAGGTGAATTATACCTCATTAAAGCTGTTATATTAAGAAAAAAAGAACAGTGGGCTGAAAAGAAGGAACGCTAGCACATGAGTAGAACAGATTGGAAGAATGGTAGAATTAACCTTGCCATCAGGCCATTTTGTTGGGTAACTACTGCTGTCATCTTTTTAGGTCTTCCCTCTTGGACTGGTGATATTTTGCAGAGGGATTTCTGGAGTTGCCAACATTTTGGGAGCCTGGTTGAGGAGGACAGTAGGGTGATGAGCCTTCTGCCCTTGTGAATCCTGAGCACTGCCAGCTGCCATGGCCCCACACCCCATGGAATGACTTGTCCAACCTTCCCCTTTGCCCTTCTTTCCACCATGTTCATTCTGCCTTTGCATCCCCCCCACCCCTTGCCCGTTCTCCCACCTCACACAGCCTTCCACCTTGTCTACCAGCAAGTCCTGCAGAGCCCTCCCGGTGCGGGGTGGAGAGGTGCACAGCACAGTATGCAGCGTGGGGTCTAGGGGTGGCAGCCCGTGGGCCAGGTGCCGAGCTGCACTAACGGGGCCCTTCTCACATTCTCTTCTGGCTTCCCCTCGGGCTCCTGCTCGGGGCTGTTGGCACTGAGCACCTGCGTAGCAGGGGACAGCCTCTCCAGGCAAGGTAGGGGTGGTGGAACTGTGGGAGGGCCAGGGGGTCAGCCTAGTAGGGAGCTCTGGGGTGCGCTGCTGTGAGCAAACCTTGAGAGGTGGTGGATGGGGAGAGAATCCCCTCACAGCCTCTGGTTCCCTCTGAGAAGGATGTTCAGCTCTCAAAGTGACTGTATTAAAATATAGTGCGTTAATAGAAAATCTGAGATGACTCCCAGTGAAGATAGTTTATTACAGTTACCAAGAGAAGGAGATACATCACTCCACGAAGGACCACAGGGGGAAGTGAGGGTCTGCCAGGAGATGGGGGGTGGAGTCCAGGATAGGGGAGAAATTGGCAGGAGCCTTTACTGTGGTTTCCTTGGGAGCAGCGGGAGAGTCAGGATGAGCAGCTTAGGACTGGCTTGTGTGAATAATGTCAGTGTGCACTGGGGGGTGGGGGCTGCCCCTAGTCATCTGGTCCCTGGCCTTGCACTGGGAAAGTGACCTGGAGTATAAGACCTCCATAGAGGAGGTGGTGGTCTCTGGATTGGTTAATTTGCACACCCAAGGAGGGAGGTGGGGGAGGCAGGAGGAAGCCAGCATGTCATTGAGGTGTTCAGTATATGTCTGTAGGGCAGGTGTTAAAGTATCAAGGTTATAGAAGCTGTGGTTAATGAAATGACTGGGGTGTGATGAGTGTTCTCTGCAGGGGAGGAGTCCCCAGCATGGAGATGGGAGGCTGGTTTAATGTGGGAGACCTGGGTTTGATCCCTGGGTTGGGAAGATCCCTTGGAGAAGGGAAAGGCTACCCACTCCAGTATTCTAGCCTGGAGAATTTCGTGAACTATATAGTCCATGGGGGTCACAAAGAGTCGGACATGACTGAGCGAGTTTCACTTTCACTCTAAACACGAGTCAGGGTGGACTAGGGACTGTCTAGGTTGTGCGCAGTATCCGTCAGAGGTCATTCACGGCTCACCTCTCTTCTCAGAAGCTCTTCCAGCACCTGCCCAGCACAGGCAGGGGTGGGGGAGTGTGTGCCCCTGTCCTCCAGCTCCTGGACGGGGCTTCCAGGAGGCGTAGCGTCACTGCGTTGTGAGCCCCTTTGCGTGGGGGGTGTGGCTCCCCCAGGACTTGCAGACCCCTTTCTCACGTGGTGGAGTGGCCCTGTACCTGCCCAGCACTCAGGCCTCCCTCTGTGCATCCTCTATAGCACCTCCTCAGAGAGGGTCTCCCCTCCTCTCCCGAGCTGTGCTCCTGGCTGTGCGTTACCCAACTGGGACCTTCCAACGTGGCTTCCTGTGCAGTCCTCCCACCACCTGGTCTCCAATGCGCCCCAGACTTGGGAAGACCAGACTTCTTTTTTACTTCCCTGGGAGTGGAAACACAGAATTCCAGACTTCTGGAATTGGAGTCTGCATTTTGGTAAGATTCCTGGAAATCAGGAAGCCCTGCAGCCTCACCTTCTTGACTTCCCGGAGCTGGTGGAAGGCCCCACTGGCCCTTCTGACCCAGTAGGTCTGGGTGGAGCTGTCCAACACCCCAGGTGATGGTGCTGCCTTTTGGGGACCGCACTTTGGGAACCGCCCTAAACTGGCTGTACTTTGAGCCACCTGAGGTGGCAAACTGGTCTAGGTATTTACTCTGACTGGACAGACAGAAAGGAGCTCATGGGGAGGTGCCCATGAGGGCACTAGGCTGCACACATAGAAACTAAATCTGGTCTTTGGCCCTGGCACATGGTTTCAAAAATTCTTCAAATTTCCTGAGTGAAAGAGATAGAAGTCTTTTGTTGTTTGTAAAGAGTCCCCTTTCTGTATCTGTGTGCGTGCGTGCTCAGTCATGTCCAACTTTTTGCGACCCCATGGACTGTAGCCTGCCAGGCTTCTCTGTCCACGGGATTTTCCAAGCAATAATGCTGGAGTGGGTTGCCGTTTCCTCTTCCAGGGCACCCTCCCAACCCAGGGATTGAACCCGAGTCTCCTGTGTCTCCTTCATTGGCAGACGGATTCTTTACCACTGAGCCACCGGGGAAGCCCTTTTGTACCTGAGTTTACTCTAATGAGGTGACTCTTGGTGTGGGGGTGCCTAGGTAGCTTGGGAATGGGGCTGGTGGCCAGAGGAAACAACTGTGGGATTTGAGGACTGGGGATTGAGTTAATCACTGATTGCTGGTGATTTTCTCATAATGTTTTTAATACACATTATGAGAATGAACATATTAAAAATAATAGATGTTATTTTTAATAGAGGCTCCTATACCCTCTCTCCTCCTCACCTTATGTGTCTCTTCCTTTCACTGTTCCTGGTCTGTATCCTCTATAACAGAACTAAAACATAAGCATTGTGCTTTCAGAGTTCTGTGGGTCTTTCTAGCAATTTATTCTGTACCTGAGTTTACTCTAATGAGGTGACTCTTGGCGTTCTAGCAACTTGTTCTGTGGGGGGTGTGGGAATCCTTGAATTTGCAGCCTTGTGGGACTGAGCCCTTACTTGTGGGGCCTGACTTGAACCTTGGGTGGTTTTCCCTTTTTATTTTTGGCTGACCTGCACAGCTTCTGAGATTTTAGATTCCAGATCTGGGACTTTGGCAGTGAAACTGAGGAGTCCTAACCACTGGACTGCCAGTGAATTCCCCTCTGGGTGGGTTTGTCAGAACTGAAATGACAAACCGGGCCCTCATCGGGTGTGGAGTGTACACACTTCACTGGAGGTTCTAAAGCAGGCTGCCAGGGACTTCTCTCTAGTCCTGCGGTTAAGACTTCGTGCTCCCAGTGCAGTGGCCTGGGTTTGATACCTACTCAGGGAACTAAGATCCTGCATGCTGCAACCAAGGCCCAGTGCAGCCAAATGTATATATATATATATATATATATATATAAACTCCCAAAACCCAGGCTGCCTGGGGAATGGCCTGTAACCCTTTGCCCTCCATGTGCCCCCTGAGCAAGTCAAGGCTAGTGAAGTCTGGTGACCTCTACACCCCAAGTCCTCCGTGCACGTTCTGTTCCTGTTCCCCAACCTGAGCCCAGGAACACTTCCGCAAGGGGTCAGAACAAGAGCCTGGTGGACAAGTCCCTCCCAGCCCAGAGCCCCAGCTCCCAGCTCCTGGCTCTACCTCCACACACACTCATCACCAGGTGGGACTGCCTGTTTCCAGGAGCTTCCAGTCCTGCTGGGGTGCTCCCGGAGGCAAGGCCTGTGTGCTTCCTCCCTCCCAGCAGCTGCCAAGGACAGACAGAGGATGGAGAGACATGAGGCCGAGTGTGGGTTTTATTAGCAGCAGGTAGGAGGCTGTCTGGATCCGAGAGAGAAGGTTCTGGTTGAGCGGACTTGGACTGTCACTCCTGGCAGCCAGGGGCTCTCAGAGCTGTCCCTCACTGTGAAGGGTCCTCCGCAGGGGACATGGAGGCCTCAGAGGAGGAGGAACACGGCCACGGTGGGGGCAGGGGAGGGAAGGGTGCTGTGGGTGGGCCAGTGAGCCCTCCACACCCACCATCCCAGACTCTCACCATCACCCATGGGCAGGCAGGCAGCCCACAGCTGGTAGGGACTGTTATTTGGGAACCATGTCTCTGGACTCCTAACCCAGAGCTCCTTTCCAGACTAAGTGGCATAGGCACAGACATTGCTGGTGGGCTTAGCTGGACCAAGTACCACCAGGCATGTCTCTCGGTGCCTCTGAGCCCCCTTGGCTGGTCTGAGACCCCCTGTGTGACCCAGTGGCTTGAAGGATTTGCAGAAACCTGCCGCTGGTACAACCCTGGTCGTTGGCATCTGAGCCTCTGCCCTTTTCTTCATCATACTCCTCTTGGGGCCTTGTGGAAGCCCCCAGGTCATGGGAGGCACAGGGAGAAGCCAAGTACACCAGCTTCAGGGCAGTGTCCCAGGATGCTCACCTGTGGTGTGGACCATACAGCTCATGGCACATGAGCTGAAGCAGCATTTCAGGTTGTCCCTACACTGATCATCCCTGGAGCACTCACTTCTCTCCAAGCAGAGCTTTGGGCCAGTGGGGCCTGCACCCAGAGGCAGCGGCCAGCCTTCAGGACAGGTGCTGGCAGAGAGATGGGCCAGGGGTCACTGCCCACTGGCTCGCTGGGTCCACCCAGCTGCTGGTCACCAGGAGACACCCCCCTCCCCCCCGCCACGACACACTCCCTTGGTGGCCTGGAGCCTGCAGGGCCCAGGCTAGGCGGGAGACAGCACTCACTTGTACATCATACATCGCTGGGCAGGGCTCTGGTGATGCTGGGAGGAGGAGGGGGAACCTCAGCTGGACCTCAGGTCAGTCCAGCTAGTGAAGCCCTGTTACGGCCGGGCTGAGTTCACGGGGCCGCTGGGAGGTTCACTGAGAGAGGGCTGTGGAGTGCAGGGCTGAGGGCACCCTTGGCAAAGCTGGGCCCTCCCTTCCTCCAGTTTATGGGGCTCCGCTGGGGCGCAGGGTCGGAGGCCTTACCCTTGAGGGGGACCACACAGGACCGGCTGCAGGGACTCCTGGTGCAGCACTTGGTTCCCTGGGGACAGCTCTCATTGTTGACACAGGAGGCAGTGCAGGAATCTTTCTCCGAGGAGCTGAGCTCTGGGCACACAGCCTGTCCTGCACACAGAATGGGCCGGGGGGTGAGGGTGGGGGTGGCTGGATCCCTCCTCCCATCTCCCCTTGGCTTCTCAGGGAAAAAGCAAGGTGGGGCAAAGACAAAACCCACGGGGAGCCCAGTCCCCAGCATGACAATGCTATGCTTCTAGGAAGGAAAAAAGTGCCAGAAATATGATCCAGCTGACAAAAGCATAAGTCAGCGGTGAAAATTAGGAAGCAAGGCTGCAGGCCCACTGCAGGGGGTAGAGTTAAGCCTCTGCGGGGCGAGGACAGGCTCTCTCCAAGACCAGTTAAGTGCCCAGTCACATTTCACCCTGGGGCATGGCCTTGGCCCTGCAGTTCTAGGCCTCCAGCTCATGGGCATTTCTGGGCAGCATCCTGTTTTTCCATTGTTACTGGCCCTCCCCAGGGTAGCCTTCCCCGTTCTTTCCTCTGGTCTCAGTCACCAAACTGCCAGGTCTGGAAGTGTTTTGGGGCACACCTGCAGTGGAGGGAGAGCAGGATGACCCTCCTGAGCCTACCTGGCAAGCTGAGGGCAGGGCCAGGGCGAGTAGTGTCAGAGCCAGGGCGGCAAGACACCGCATGGTGGCAGGTAGCAGGTGGTGGCTCGTGGCTCTGGGGCACCTTTAAAGGATGTGGCAGGAGGAGGACCATGGCGGGGCTGGCGCTGGCTCAGTGGGGCTGAGGGGCTTCCGGTTTGGACAGACCTTAGACTGGGCAGTTGCGGCCTTGGGCCACATTTGTAAATAAAAAAAGAATTCCTAATGTGGTGTACCATTTTTTTTTTCCACTTTGAAAGTAACACATGCTTACTGTGAGAATTTATTTTTTCATTTATTTTTATTGGAGGTTAATTACTTTACTGTGAGATTTAAGAAAATGCAGGGCAGAAGGAGGGAGAAATATCCACCATGACACAACACGATGTTGTTTTCCATGGCAACAGGGGGCCCTTGAGGGACAGCGAGTGACCCGTCTGGTTCAGCACATGGTCCACAGGTGACGGAGCAGAAGGAGCCCAGGGGCGGGGTTATCTGGAGGGTGTTGTCTTTCTCCCATGGCGTCTTTTTGTCTTTTCCTGAATGTTCTAGAGCAAGCAGGACAGACAGAAGGAAGAAATACGATCTTGTGTTTATAGGCTGCATGCTCTGTGAGGAGAATATTGGGGATCCAAGAAAGAGAGGGGCAAGTTCAGTGTCAGGGCTGTTTCCTCGCAGGGTGGACACCGGGAAGGGCTCTTCCCAGAAGGGCCCCTCCTGGGCCCTGAGAGCGGGGCTGGGGTGGGGCAGGATGAACACCCAGGTGACGTGCCCCTCCTTCTCTGGGGAAACTTCCTCCATCCTTCTGCCCTGAGGGCCTGGACAGGAAAGGTGGCCTTGGCGTGACCACGTGTGCTGGTGATCAGTGCCCACCCCTGGTCCAGGCTGCACTCCTCTGCCTGGCCCATGGCCTCGTGACCTTTAACACAGAACCCCTCAATGCTTCCTGGGTGCTCACATTTCCAGATGTTCTAGCCCAGGACACCCTGCCCCTTCGACAGGCAGCTCAGGTCCCCGTGGCTCGCCCTGCCCCGGGCCTTGAGTAGCACTGTCTGGGCCGCTGCAACCCCTCAGCAGGGTTCTCGGACCTCCGCCTGGCCCCTCCTGCGGTGACCAGTGCCAGTCTTCGGGGATGGGGGTCTGAGGTCCTGGCCACTGGTGACTTGCTACCTCCTGGTGCCTCTCCACGCTGGCAGCTCACAAAAATTTCCCTTTTAGCTGTTTCCCTCCTGCAGCCTGAGAAGAATGCAGTGCACAGGCCAGAGAGGGCTCTGAGGTTCAGAGAAGTGAGGGGTGGCCAGGCCAGGGCCACTCGCTGCCTGGCCCCGCTGGACTTTCTCTCCCCGTTCTCTGTCCCTCCCTCTGCACCATGGCTGGGAGGATTCAGGCTCCTTCTTGCTCAGATACTGGGTCTGAGGCCAGGCTGATGACACCAGGAACTCAGGCCATGGGGCCGTGTCCTCACACTGCGTTGCCGGCCTCTGACTCCCTGGGACATAGTCTATGAGAACTGCGGTCACAGGTTTACAAGCCCTGGAGCCTTCCTCCCTGACTACAGGACTGGCCACATCCTGTGTGGGGTGCTTTGTTCAACAAGAGAGAAAAAAGTGTTGGTAAGGATACTAAACATAAAGTGAAAGTTGCTTAGTCGTGTCTGACTCTTTGGACCCCGTGAACCGCAGCACGCCAGGCCTCCCTGTCCATCACCAACTCCTGGAGTCCACCCAAACCCATGTCCATTGAGTCAGTGATGCCATCCAACTATCTCATCCTCTGTCATCCCCTTCTCCTCCTGCCCTCAATCTTTCCCAGCATCAAGGTTTTTTCAAATGAGTCAGCTCTTCGCATCAGGTTTGCATATCTGAGGTTATTGATATTTCTCCCAGCAATCTTGATTCCAGCTTGTGCTTCCTCCAGCCCAGCGTTTCTCATGATATACTCTGCATATAAATTAAATAAGCAGGGTGACAATATACAGCTTTAATGTACTCCTTTTCCTATTTGGAACCAGTCTGTTGTTCCATGTCCAGTTCTAATGTGCTTCCTGACCTGCATATAGGTTTCAGAAGAGGCAAGTCAGGTGGTCTGGTATTCCCATCTCTTTTAGAATTTTCCAGAGTTTATTGTGATCCACACAGTCGAAGGCTTTGGCATAGTCAATAAAGCAGAAATAGATGTTTTTCTGGAACTCTCATGCTTTTTTGATGATCCAATTCTTCAGGCCAGAATACTGGAGTGGGTAGCCTTTCCCTTCTCCAGGAGATCTTCCCAATCCAGGGTTGATCCCAGGTCTCCTGCATTGCAGGTGGATTCTTTACCAGCTGAGCCACAAGGGAAGGCTTTCCTCTTTTCCATGTCTTTCTTTTGTTTTAAAAATTGTCACTCTAGGGACTTTTCTGGTTGTCCAGTGGTTAAAAATCTTCCTTGCAATGCAGGGGACACAGATTCTATCCCTGGTCCAGGAACTAGGATCCCACATGCCTTGGAGCAACTAAGCATGCATGCTGCAACTACTGAGCCCACGTACCACAGTTAGAGTCCATGCACAGCAACAAAGATCTGCATGCTGCTAAGACCCAAGGCAGTCAAATAAATATTAAAAATGTCACTCCAGTTAAATCAAAATTATATGTTTACATTATTACTGTGAATATTACCACTCCTTTTTATATTGTGCAATGCCAGTTTAAATGCGAACACGAGAGCATTTGACTCTTATGTGGAATCACCAAAATCACACCCTTCATGTCCCTGGCTGGAATGGGCACGTGTGTTTCATTCTGCACAAAACTCACTCAGCTGCTTTGTCTTCACATTTTTTTCACATTTCCTTTTATTTTCAGATTCACTCTTGTTCTGAGGAATCCATTTCCTTGGAAGCACTATCATTTTCCTGACACAGTGAACTGGTTGACTGCTTTTGTCAGACTGGACTCTCCATCAACAAAACCACTTTAACTCGTGATGGTCCTGACCACGCCCAAAGGCAGGAGGCCAGATGCTGCCTGGAGGTCTGGTTTGCTTCTATGGCCACTCATTTCTAGGTATATTTTTATACTAGTGAGGATCAAATTTTTTATTTTTATAAAAATATAAATTCTCTATTTTTATCTTATTTTTATTTTATTTTTTTGTGTTAGTTGCTCAGTCATGTCCAACTCTTTGCAACCCCATGGAATGTAGCCTGCCAGGCTCCTCTGCCAGTGGAATTCTCCAGGCAAGAATACTGGAGTGGGAAGACTTTCCCTTCTCCAGGGAATCTTCCTGATCCCGGGATCGAGCCCGGGTCTCCTGCATTGCCGGCAGATTCTTTACTGTCTGAGCCACCAGGGAAGACCATTTTATTTTTCACTGAGATTTACTTCCCATGTCATATAATTCACCCTTTTTAAATGGTTTTTAATCTATGAACAGTTTTGCAACCAACTCTTTAATTCTAGACCATTTCATTATTCCTAAAAGAAATACTGTACTCACTAGCTGTTATTTCCTATCCCTCCTCCCCCAAACCCAGCAACTGGCAACCACCAATCTACTTTCTATCTCTGTGGATTTGCCTATTTTGGACATTTAGTATAGATGGAATCATATACTATGTATCCTTTTGTGTCTGGCCTCTTTCAGTGAGCAAAAGATCTTCCAGATGCATCCACATTGTAGTGTGTGTCAGTGCTTTCTTCCTTTTTATGGCTAAATGATATTCTACTATGTGGATGGACCACATTTTGTATAAACTTTCACCCCCCCAATGGACACTTGGGTTGTTTCTGCTTTTTGGCCATTGTGAGTAACACTGCTGTGAGTATTCATTATTTCACATCATATTTTCACAGTCTGCCCACATTCCACCTGGCTGACTGGGAGTCTGCCAGTCTGAAGGAGAAGTAGCTCCTTCTTCCTCTCCCTTTTCTCCTCTGTCATCATTTTCTGAGTAACTGTTGGGTCCTGTGGGGAAGAAGCTAGTTAGAAAGAGAAGGTGGGGTGCCTTGGTCTCTTGGGTTTCTTAGAAGCCCCTGCCCTCTCTCAGCATCTGAGGTCTCCTGGGACCCAAGGTGGCCTCTCATCTCCATCTGGGGTCCGGTGGGACATCATGAATGCTGGGTGCACCTGGGGTGGCCGGGCATGGAGGACAGACGCATCTCCCTGCCTTCATGCAGGCTCCATGACTTATCAAGTATTCCACTGAGTATGGAGTTAGAAAACCTGGGAACACTTAAAAAAAAACATTTTCAAAAACTGAAGTATAGTTAATTTACAATGTTGTAAGGCACCCAGGAGAGGAAAGTGAAAAAGCTGGCTTAAAACTCAACATTCAGAAAACTAAGATCATGGTATCCGGTCCCATCACTTCATGGCAGATAGATGGGGAAACAATGGAAACAGTGGCAGACTTTAATTTTTTGGTCTCCAAAATCACTGCAGAGGTGACTGCAGCCATGAAATTAAAAGACGCTTACTCCTTGGAAGAAAAGTTATGACCAACCTAGACAGCATATTAAAAAGCAGAGACATTACTTTGCTAGCAAAGGTCTGTCTAGTCAAAGCTATGGTTTTTCCAGTGGTCATGTATGGATGTGAGAGTTGGACCATAAAGAAAGCTGAGTGCCGAAGAATTGATGCTTTTGAACTGTGGTGTTGGAGGAGTCTCTTGAGAGTCCCTTAGATTGCAAGGAGATCCAGCCAGTTCATCCCAAAAGGAATCAGTCCTGAATAATCATTGGAAGGACAGATGCTGAAGCTGAAATTCCAATACTTTGGCCACCTGATGCAAAGAACTGATTTATTTCAAAAGACCCTGATGCTGGGAAAGATTGAAAGTGGGAGGAGAAGGGGATGGCAGAGGATGAGATGGTTGGATGGCATCACGAACTCCATGGACATGAGTTTGAGTAAGCTCTGGGAGTTGGTGATGGACAGGGAGGCCCGGTGTGCTGCAGTGCAGGGGGTCACAAAGAGTTGGACAAAACTGAAGGACTGAACTTAGCTGACTAAGGCACCCAGAGCTCCTGGGTGCCTGAATTTCTTCTATTGGAGAACAGCCTCCC